CAGCCATTTTAGATCTGGTCCTAACCAATGTTGATAACCTGGTTAGTGGGGTAGAAGTGGAAGGATCATTAGGCGCGAGTGATCATGCTCTTCTGAAGTTTACTATACAGCGGAAAGGAGCAGCCAAGCATACTAGGACTCAATTTCTTGACTTTAAGAAAGCCGACTTCATAAAACTTAGGGAAGTGCTGGGTGAGATCCCATGGACAGTAATACTAAAAGGAAAGGGAGTTCATGATGGCTGGGAGTTTGTTAAGAGGGAGATAGTAAAAGCACAACTTCAGGCAATACCAATGAGACGGAAACATGGAAGGTGCCTAAAGAAGCCAGGGTGGCTATCTAAAGAACTTTTAACTGAGTTAAGATTAAAAAAGGATGTGTACAAAAAATGGAAAAGGGGGGAAACCACCAAAGAGGAATTCAAACAAATAGCCAGCACGTGTAGACACAAAGTCAGAAAAGCTAAAACACAGAATGAACTCAGGCTTGCTAGAGAGGTTAAAAGCAACAAAAAAGGCTTTTATGGGTATGTTCGTAGCAAAAGGAAGAACAAAGAAACAGTGGGGTCACTCAGAGGAGAAGATGGTGAAATGCAAACAGGGAACACAGAAAGGGCTGAACTCCTCAATGCCTTCTTTGCCTCAGTCTTCTCCGATAAAGAAAACAATGCCCGACCTGAAGAATTTGGAGCAAATGATTCAGCAGAGGAAACACAGCCCAGAATAACTAAGGAGATAGTACAAGAATACTTGGCTAGTTTAGATGTATTCAAGTCTCCAGGGCCAGATGAACTGCATCCAAGAGTATTAAAAGAATTGGCAGAGGTGATCTCAGAACCACTGGCAGTCATCTTTGAGAATTCCTGGAGAACAGGCGAAGTCCCGGCAGACTGGAGGAGGGCAAATGTTGTCCTATTTTCAAGAAGGGGAAAAGAGAGGACCCAAATAATTACCGCCCAGTCAGTCTGACATCAATACCAGGGAAGATTCTGGAGCAGATCATTAAGCAAACAGTCTGTGAGCACCTAGAAAGGAATGCTGTGATCACCAATAGTCAGCATGGATTTCTGAAAAATAAGTCATGTCAGACTAACCTGATCTCGTTTTTGACAGAATTACAAGCCTGGTAGATGAAGGGAACACAGTGGATGTAGCCTACCTTGATTTCAGCAAGGCATTTGACAAGGTGCCCCATGATATTCTTGTAAAGAAGCTGGTAAAATGCGGCCTTGACTATGCTACCACTCAGTGGATTTGTAACTGGCTGACTGACCGAACCCAAAGGGTGCTCATCAATGGTTCCTCTTCATCCTGGAGAAGAGTGACTAGTGGGGTGCCACAGGGTTCTGTCTTGGGCCCGGTCTTATTCAACATCTTTATCAACGACTTGGATGATGGACTCAAGGGCATCCTGATCAAATTTGCAGATGACACCAAACTGGGAGGGGTGGCTAACACCCCAGAGGACAGGATCACACTTCAAAACGACCTTGACAGATTAGAGAACTGGGCAAAAACAAACAAGATGAATTTTAACAGGGAGAAATGTAAAGTATTGCACTTGGGCAAAAAAATGAGAGGCACAATTACAAGATGGGTGACACCTGGCTTGAGAGCAGTACATGTGAAAAGGATCTAGGAGTCTTGGTTGACCACAAACTTGACATGAGCCAACAGTGTGACGCAGCAGCTAAAAAAGCCAATGCAATTCTGGGCCTGCATCAATAGGAGCATAGCATCTAGATCAAGGGAAGTAATAGTGCCACTGTATTCTGCTCTGGTCAGACCTCATCTGGAGTACTGTGTCCAGTTCTGGGCACCACAGTTCAAGAAGGACACTGACAAACTGGAACGTGTCCAGAGGAGGGCAACCAAAATGGTCAAAGGCCTGGAAACGATGCCTTATGAGGAACGGCTAAGGGAGCTGGGCATGTTTAGCCTGGAGAAGAGGAGGTTAAGGGGTGATATGATAGCCATGTTCAAATATATAAAAGGATGTCACATAGAGGAGGGAGAAAGGTTGTTTTCTGCTGCTCCAGAGAAGCGGACACGGAGCAATGGATCCAAACTACAAGAAAGAAGATTCCACCTAAACATTAGGAAGAACTTCCTGACAGTAAGAGCTGTTCGACAGTGGAATTTGCTGCCAAGGAGTGTGGTGGAGTCTCCTTCTTTGGAGGTCTTTAAGCAGAGGCTTGACAACCATATGTCAGGAGTGCTCTGATGGTGTTTCCTGCTTGGCAGGGGGTTGGACTCGATGGCCCTTGTGGTCTCTTCCAACTCTATGATTCTATGATTGTAACCCGAGGTACCACTGTACAGTACTTTGAACAACACCTCTGGCCCCACTTTATATCTGTAACATCTGATTTGGCCCAAAATTGCCCTGGTGTGAAATCTCATGCCATACCAACACAGTAATCCTTAACAAATATGCTGGGCATCATGCTTTACAGCACAATTTCCCAAAATAGAGGTCTCCAGCTGTTTATGGACTACATTTCCCATCATCCCTGACAACTGGTCCTGCTAGCTGGGGATTGATGGGAGTTGTAGTCCAACAACAGCTGGAGACCCATGTTTGCAAAACCCTACATTACAGCAAGGGTGGCTAACCCATAGCTCTCCACATGCTGCTGAACTTCAAGTCCCAACCCCTCTCCTGATGGAAGTTGTGGTTCAGCACCATGTGACGGACCAAAAGGTTCCTGACACCTGATTTACAGGTTAGAAATTTAGCATTCCCTGCCTTGATCATCTGTCCTGCTCTTCACTTCCTGGACTCCACCAGCTTCATAGTGCAGGTAGGAGGTGCTCTTTTTGAATGCTCTCTTGCACAGTTTCGTTAGTTAGTTAGTTAGTTACTTGACTTGTATAAAAGCCTCCCTATCTGTAGAAAACTAGGGGGAACGGTTCTAAGACAGGCCTTTTTCCTTCTGAAAATGTGTTTCTTGCCAATGCTACTGTAAACGTGGCTCTGATGAATTTCAGAAGCCAAAGGTGGAGCATAATGGAAGCTCCTTGATAAGAAGTACGATTTATGCAAAAGTTAGCAATTCGTGAATTATGCAATTTAAAAAAATAAATAAATTAGCAGACGTGACCCTATGCCAAAACAAATTAACAATATAATATTGTTCCTTAAGCTTCAAAGAAGGGCAAGAGCACTGGAGCAGAATACGCCCAGAACTTTCCCACCACCTGCAACGTTTTCTGAGCCAAGCTGCAGCCACAAAGAGGTTTTCTTTGACACTTTAATAGGGCCCAAACAACTTGATTCAGGTCAGCCGTAAAATAAAAGACAGATTGTTGGCATTTATGCAGTGTTGCCGTTGGACCTGTTTTGTTATCTTTGCGGCTGGATTTTCCTTGATTGACAGCATTGCAATACTTCCCTGCTTGGACTTCTTCACCCCACTTAAGGAATTTTACACTGCACGGACACAGAAATATCAATGGATTGTGGCTTTATTGAGAGGGTTGTCTTGCCTCTTTCATTGTATGTGCACACCTTCATATTTACATTTAAATGCAACATGTTAATAAGCAGTCTCTACTCTGTTAGACATTTTGCGTGTAGTGTTGCCTTAAACAGTCGTCTTTGCTGCCAGTCCCTGAGTTTACCCTGAGAGAAACCCAGCTTACAGAAACAGTCCCAAATGCACTGAATTAAACTTTTCTTGGCACAGCATTATTTATTTATTTTAACCGGAGAGTTAGACACGCACCCTTGCACCTTACCCACAGGGGAGGGACGACTCCATTATCAATGCTATAATTTCCCTGCTTATCCCTGCTTCCGCACAAAACCAGGGGGAACTCTTGTGAGGCAACTAACTAAGCCAGTCCTGGCCCACTTGAAAGGGGTCCAAAAGTCAGAGCGGGTGCTCAGGAGTGTGGATGGTTGAGCTGTAGTGTTTCACCGCAATGGAGATCTTCCTGTAAACACAAAAGTGCTGCCTGGCTCTTTTGTCCAGTGCTGACTGTGGGACGAGTTTACCAGTGACAGCTCTTCCCATCTCTTCAACTAGCAGAGGAGATATTTCTGCGTGATCCATCCGGAACTTAAAATAAACAGCCAGACTGGAGGAGGAAATCTGGAAGCAGGCTTTAGGAAAGGGAGTTGGGCTGTGTCACTGAGGAAAAGAATGATTATCATAAAATAAGACACTGGTGAGTGGAGTGTGTATGCTCAGCGCCCACATGAAGAACGTAGCTGGCAGCCTGAGCAGTGAAAGAACACAAACTTGTGTGAAAGGTGGAAGATCCAATCATTCTTGCCCGCAACAATTACGGCCTCTTAAAAAATCCCCTTGTAGGTTCCTATTTCACAGTACTGTCCATTAATGTGGGCCAATAACATTGCATGAGCTGAATGCTTCTTGTGTAGGGCTTTTTTTCCGAACAGGAGAGCTGTTCTGAGTGCCACGGGCTCCCATCGCGTTACGGAGCAAAGTTTTGTGGCTGCACCGAGGCCACGGCAAACACAAGCGTGCTCCAGCCCTTGTGCCCCATTTCACGACGAGTTTTGCCAGGCAGCTTCTAACAGGAAGAGGCAAAGACTTCAAGAGCAGCCATTTTGTTAGGTGGGTCCAATGTTCCAGGAAGACCAAGCTGCGTCTTGCCTCTGAGCAGAAGCCGCAGCAGAATGCCGGACGGAAACATCACCGGAAGTGTGAGAGACGCTTGCAGAGCTGGGACTGTTGCCACTTTGTCACAGCAGGATTGTGACTGTGCTGTTGCAGCTCCCAACTTTGCTGGAACTTTCCTTCTATCATGGATTAGTACGGTGCAATTTGCTCTTTACCGTAGCCCATGGAGATGGTTTCTCCACAGGCTGGCTGGCTGATACAGGACTTCCTTTGGCACATTTGGAAGCTGCCGCTTTTCAGTTTTGTTGCTGACCTAAAATAGAGGAAGGGCTGCCCAGGATCCACCTGAAGGATGGAAATCAGGTGAAGCTACCCTCTCCCTTTCCATGCCCGTGCGCCCAAGCTGCCTTCACCGTTGATACAGCTTCATGATACCAGTCCGGTGCAAGCTCTTCCACAGCTCAGCTTCCAGCAGCATATCGTGGTTGGCATAGAAGACCAACGGCTTCTTCTCCTGCTCAAAGTAGTGGTCAGAGAATGCCCTGTAGTTGTCGGTGATGAAACCATAGGCACTGACCTGCGAGAGGGGAAGAAGCAGAGGAGGAGGACGACTTAGGGATGGGCATGGACCTGAGGCCCAACCTCCCAGGCTTTGTCTGACACCCCACCCTTGCCATGCACAGTGCCAAGCCACTTGAAATCTAGTTCCGAGGGCCTTCTGGCGGTTCCCTCACCATGAGAAGTGAGGTGACAGGGGGCCAAGCATAGGATTTTCTCGGTAGTCACTCTCCCATCAGATATCAAGGAAATAAAGAACTACACAACTTCCGAAGGCAGCCCTGTATCAGGAAGTTTAAAATGTTTGGCATTTTATTATGTTTTTATATTCTGCTGGAAGAGTCACTGGGGCAAACCAGTCAAATGAGCGGGGTATAAATAATAAAATTATTATTATTATTACTTGGCACCTAACGGTGTGCTTGCGCTTTCAGATGACCCATGAAAGTTGCCCCTTTTCTCCACGCAGAGACAGAGAAGTTCTAGCTGCAGGTGGAACAAGCACATCTTGTTGGGAGGAAATAGATTATGTTCCCTGTTGGTGCTAGGTGTGTGAGAGTCATCTTCTCCCCTTTCCACACAGTGTGAAGTCACTGTCACAACTAGGCTTAGGTCTCCACCCCCTGATGCTGAGTTTATCAGCTGCTGGAAAAGTTAACGGTATAAAGACTGTTACCTGATCACAGGTATGAAGAGCTGTTAGAAGCATCAGGGCTCCAGTGCTGGGCATGTAGAGATGTCCATACTGACTGTTTATTATTTCTGACCTTAAAAACCTGTAAATAGAAGAGGAGCACAGGAGGGTGTTTATAGGTTATTAACAAAATAAGAAGTTTTTAACCAATTGGCTGTGTCAGGTGCGAACTATGGGCCATATAAGAATCTGGCAATCAGAAAGATTTCAAACGTCCAGCCTGTTCTTCTCCCTGACATGCTAGCATTCCACATACAGGGAATTTTTGCCCATTGGTATTGGCTCTCATAGGGACACAGGTGGCGCTGTGGGTTAAACCACAGAGCCTAGAACTTGCTGATCAGAAGGTCAGTGGTTCGAATCCCTGCGATGGGGTGACCTCCCATTGCTTGGTCCCTGCTCCTGCCAACCTAGCAGTTCGAAAGCACGAAGTACAAGTAGATAAATAGGTACTGCTCCGGCGGGAAGGTAAACGGCGTTTCTGTGCGCTGCTCTGGTTCGCCAGAAGCGGCTTAGTCATGCTGGCTACATGACCCGGAAGCTGTACGCCGGCTCCCTCGGCCAATAAAGTGAGATGAGCGCCGCAACCCCAGAGTCGGCCACGACTGGACCTAATGGTCAGGGGTCCCTTTACCTTTACATTGGCTCTCATATGATACAAAATGGAATTAAAGGCAAGATTCCTGCACAAATCCCAAAAATTGTGTATCAGTCTTCCACCCAATTTACTCAGGTGACTCACGGTTCCCTCTGTCCCTTCCGCCAGCCAGAGATTCATACACCATTGACAAAGAAGAGCAGTCAGAATTCTACTACATATGTATGTACAAGTGCATAGCTGTCAACGTTTCCCATTTTTAAAGGGAAAATTCCCTTATTCCGAATAGGATTCCTCACAAGAAAAGGGAAAAGTTGACAGCTATGGTACAAGTGTAGGGGAAGAGGACTGTTGTTATTATGATTATTTTACTTTTAGGCTGTCTGTCAGTATGCTTTTTACTATGTTTTTATTATGTTTTTATCATTGATGTTTGGTAATTTGTTTTTAATGTCGTACATCGCCCTGAGATCTTTTGAGGTATATATATTGAATGATGAAAACAAACAAACAAACAAATGGTCAGCGGTGGGGAATCTCTGACCTGCTGGCCTAGTTAGACCCGGCAGAGTCCTAATTTGGCCTAATTTCTCCAAAGCTACACCCACCCACAGATGACGTCAGCTGCTGGGCCAGTAAAGAAACGACTGCAAAGGAAATGGTTCAGGAGCCTTCGAGTGCACGCTCAATTGCTCCCTGATAAGGGGGGATTGTACCCATGTTTTTTTGTACCCACTTTGTACCCACTGATGGTGACTTCAAGCCAAGCTAGAATTGGCTACATTCCCGAGTTTCCAATCAGGATCTCTGGAATGGGGCCAATCCCTGCTGAAAGTGGGGCTTGCAGACAGCTCAGGATCTAGCCCACTGAGCTGAAAATGTTCCCACCCCGGATGTGTTTCATGTGATAATATGTGGGTTCCCCTCACTCCCACTGACATGATATAAGTAGTACATATATTGCTATTGAGTGGTGTCCAGTTAAGTAATACTCAGAGTGGACCCACTGAAATCAATGTGCTTATGTCTATTGATTTCAGTGGACCTACTCTTAGCATGACTTAAGTTGGATATCACCCACTGAATATATTAAGGGTGGGAAAGCCAGATGTTGCTGGACTCCAGCACCCATCAACCCCAGTTCCAACATGGCCAGTGCACAAGGATAAAGGGAGTTGTACTCCACCAACAGTGGTCGTGTCCTGCTAAAAAACAGGCTTCGCTGTGGTGTTCTAAGTCTCAAAACATTACCTCTCTGTTAGGTAATGCACAAATTCAGGGTGCAGCAACTTGAACTTTCCGGCAGGTGCCTCAGATCCAAAATATTGTTGTGGCCTGTGGAAATAGAGCAAATAAAAATAGTTTTGTTGCATGACAACAATTAGACAGCTCTGAACTGATCCTGCGGCTGGGGCATAAAAACAATACAGTACATAAAGCAGTAAAACTGTGCCATTTGTCAAGCGCCACGATAAAAATACTAAAAATGGATGGCGTAAAAATTAAATAACTCTCCAGAAATCTGGAACAGGAAATCCAAATGGGATTTGCAGAGGGAAATGGAACCCATCTGCACCTGCTGCTGGATGAGGTCCAGGAGAAGGGATTTCTGCTTATTCCTCCTTCCCACCTGCTGTCCAGAGGCTGAGCTACTGAAATGGTGCTGAAAACCTTCTATCTCCCTGCATGCCTCAAGCTTCCAGCCTACCAGTGTGGTGTAGTGGTTAAGAGCAGTAGACTCGTAATCTGGTGAACCGGATTCGATTCCCCTCTCCTCCACATGCAGCTGCTGGGTGACCTTGGGCCAATCACACTTCTCTGAAGTCTCTCAGCCCCACTCACCTCACAGAGTGTTTGTTGTGGGGGAGGAAGGGAAAGGAGAATGTTAGCCGCTTTGAGTCTCCTTCGGGTAGTGATAAAGCGGGATATCAAATCTAAACTCTTCTTCTACCCTGTGCTTGCCCCTCTTAGATCACTAATGTATGGAGAGTTCAGGGAACGTGGGTGGGATTGAGCTTGCAGTATTGCCAGTCAGAGCTTTTACAGCAATCAAGGGATATTTTGGTGAGAAACACAGAGAAGGAGAGAGAGTTCAGAGAATAATTGCAGGCAATTTTAGAAAAGGAACCAGAAAGGTAAAATAAAAGGTAAGCTCCAGCCACAGTCTTGCATCCATGCTTGCACAAAGGACGACCTCGTGCTTCTCGTTTGGACTCAAGCATCTCACCATGTGTCCTTGCACCCTAGATGCATGACTCTTACAAAGCATCGAAAGAGAAAGCATGAGATCAGTTGAGCTTCCTCCCAACAGTTTCCATGAAACTTTAAAAGATTCTTCAGTGCTTATGAGAAACTCTGCAAGACCAGTGTCACACCACTGACATGGAAGTTCAATCTTAGGACTTCCACATGACATGGAATATAATCTCATGATACAATAGCTCTGGTTGGGTGTTCTGGAAGTGAGGCTATGTTGCACCTCCCACTGTCATCTGCACATATTGTGCAAACATCTGAGGGAGGGAGCTATCATGTGTCTACAGGCTTCCATGTGACCTAGAACCCCCTCCCCTCACACAATCAGGAACCATGAGCAACTGAGGTTCTACATCATGTAGAATCCTGTACCTACAACAACTCCCTCCCCACTTCAGACATTTGTGCTGGATGCGAAGATACCTAATTCAGTGCAGCCTTGCTTCCTGCTTGCAAATTCCCTTCAACCGTGAGTGGAATGCCTGAAAAACAGGGCTGGCATCACTGAGGACTGAAGGACTGGAGGAAGCACATATACAGTTGTAGAGACATGCGCTACAACTGCACTACAATCCCCAGAAGTGTGATTTTGTAAGAACAAGTTAACACGATCTTTTTCAGCAATGGAGTCTGGCTGCTTAAAAACCTATTTACTGCAGGGTCAGCTTGCCGGCCTGAAAGGTTGCTCTCTGAGCTGCCTCAGTAGGAACTGGAAGCACAGAGACATTAAGGCTAAACAGAAAGCAGAGTGCAAAGGGATGTCAACACTAAGAACTAACAGCGGCTGATGTTCCTAGCTGAATCCGCTCTGGATGTCTCCAGGAGGACTGAATGCAAGGACAGAGAAGCAGACAAGGAGCACCTACTTACTCATCGCCCTTGTCATACCCGTCTCGGACCGGGGTGCCCAATATGGCGGATCTCAGCATGATATAATCTCGTAGATCTGAAGGGATGAAAATGTAGTGGATGTCCTGAAGCAAAAATAGGGGAGGAATGCAAAACACAGAATAGAAATTTAAGAATTGCATGTGGCACCCACAACAAAATGTTGCTGTATGGGTTCCAGGGTGTCAGCCAGCCATAGATAGACTCTTTTCCAGATACTCCATTCCTGGCTCCTGGTTTTCCATTCCCACTCACCTTTGAAGAACAGATAAGATTATCGATGTACATACCTTGCCCTGTGGTATCTGCGTGAAGCCATATTCTGCATAAGCAATGAGGGAATTCTTCATGGTGTTTACTGTGAAACCATAGAAGGAGATTTTCGTCCCAACATCTTCCTCGAAGCCTTTGATCACTGCCCCATTAAGCCTGTAAGGGGTATTTTCAGACATACATAGGTGTTAACCAGAAGAAACAACAGATTCAAGTTTTTTTTTCCGTTTGGCAAGCTCTCTGACAGGGGTTTTGGGGGAGCATTTTACACCTATACCCATCCGCAAATTGGATTTGGGTCCCTCCTTAAGAGGAAGGGATGCCGATCCCATTGTACCTGAAGACGAAGTCATGAGCATCTATCTCCTTGCCTTGACGAGAGCCGTTCAGAATCCCACCGTTCCCAACCACAGCACAGCGGCTGCAGCCATCAGGGAGCCCAGTCTTGCTGAAGAGCCTGCCGCTGGCAGAGTCATTGAGGAGCTGCACGGTGGACGCAATTGCTGCCAAGCAGAACACATAGATGCACATCAGGAGAAGGGCGGTACCAAGCACAAAAGGCTGATGGATGTGTTCCCTCTCTGCCACCCCAATGATTGCTTGTGTCATTCTTTGCTGCCAACCACTTTGGGCAAAGTGGATACAGAAGGAACTATGAATCTCAGAAACTGACTAGTTCAAAACAAATGATACGAGCTAGTTTGTTTAGGGTGCACTACATCAGGGAATTGAACATGATGAGCTTCTGATCTGTTTGACTTCCACAGACCCGTGAAACATCCATGAATTGAATTTTGGAACAGCTTGATATACATAGTATGTTGAGGATGTCTTAACGTTATCTCCACCAAATAAAACAATGCTTACTTATTTCCCCAGCATAAAGCAGCTTTCGGGGTGGGGGTTCTTTTGTTCAAAATTGATGAGTAACAGTTCACGATGAATCAATTGGGAACTGCAGCAAGTTGATTAATGGCTTTGAGTCATTGTTTTGAATAACTCATTTTGTGGTAGCTCAAACTCCTGCAGATAATAGAGATGAAGCGTTTGTTTGAGGTGCCTTAGTTCCTTCTCTTCCCCCTTCTTCCAGATGGAGCTCCCCACTTTTTCCTCTCAGTGATACCGTCAGGGCAGGACTATGTGGGCAGAAGGCCCAGGGCCCCACTTAGCAGGAGAAGCCTTCAAATGCAGCAGAGTGGGTGTTCATTTTGAAGTAATACACACCACCATCTAAGGCAAGGCCACCATCTAAGGCATTTTTATGTGGGTTCCTCTCACTCCCATCTGTCCCACCAACATGAAACACGCAAGTAGGACATAAACTGGGTCTCACCCTAGAGCCCGGACACTGAGGTCCAGCTCCGAGGGCCTTCTGGTGGTTCCCTCACTGCGAGAAGCGAGGTTACAGGGAACCAGGCAGAGGGCCTTCTCGCTAGTGGCGCCCACCCTGTGGAATGCCCTCCCATCAGATGTCAAGGAAACAACTTTTAAAAGACATCTGAAGGCAGCCCAGTTTAGGGAAGTTTTTAATGTTTGATGTTCTGTCGTGTTTTTAATATTCTATTGGGAGTCGCCCAGAGTGGCTGGGGAAGCCCAGTCAGATGGGTGGGATAATAATAATAATAATAATAATAATAATAATAATAATAATAATATACACAGAGTGGACCCACTGAACTAAATGAACTTAAGTTGACTGATTTTGGTGCGTCGGCTCTGAGCATGACTTAAATTGGATGACATCTATTGAACAGCTGCAACCCTCCAGATGTTGTTGCACTCCAACTCTCAATAGCCCCACCCAGAGTCCAAAATTGCTTAAATGCACTACAGTTTCCCATGCTACCGGTTACAGAGTGGGGTGCAGGGAGCTGGGGAGCCCCAAGAAAGGTCCTTTGCCAACGTGGCTTCTGTGCTGAACTCATCTCAAGGCAGAAGCTTTCACACTTCCAAAAACTCTCTGCAGCCCGTTTCCCCCCTACGCTGCTTCTTTGATTTGAAGCATGTCCCACATTCACTTTCAGTTAAGAGATTCAGGACATCAGCTGGCCAGGCAGACAGCGTGCCTGGCAAGAAAAGGAAGAGTGGGCAATGTGGTAGGAAGTGAGATAATGCCCAAAAGCCAATGGCCATGAGCAGCAGCGGCGGCAGCAGCGACAACAATGGAGTAGGTTGTGCCAAATGCTTTTGGTTCAAGTTAATCATCACAAAGACACTGGGACCTTTTATTCGGGCAAATGTCACAAGGCGTTGATACCAGCGTTTTCAAAGGCTTCCTCTCCCTTCAGATCTAAGTCTTTAAAGAGATGCCAGAGCCTGTGTGGAGCCCGCGTCAAAATGACGACACTTGCAAACATTGGGACATTGATGAAAGTAGAACGTTGAAAATTCATTTGGGTTTGAGCAGCTGATAGATGAAGAAAGACTTGCTTTTCCTTTTCTTCTGCTACCTTTTTCCCCATGTCCTTCAGTTGTTGCTGATTCAGAGAAGGCACCTTTTTTTATATAGGAAGCTCACTGAATACATGCAGAACGAGCAGAGAGGAAGGATGCTTCTTTTGGGTCACATAAATTGTGAACAACATCACTCCTCAACATCTGATCAGGGGAGGTATATCATTCCTGATAAGGATCAGTCACCCCCTTCCCCATCACCTCAATCTGGATCAGGCAACCTGGATATGTGATGTACTCCACTGGCTGTGGGGCAACTCCCATGTGGGAAGCACCAAGAAGTAGCAGTGGCATGTGGGCATAAAGAGGAAAAGAGATTCTGGGTGCAGCTGCAGATAAGATGTGTGGAAACTACAGGCAACAACACTGATCCTGGGCTTTAGAGCCTTTAGGTGCCCTCTCTCTCCAAGTCAATAACAGTGATTCAGCTGTCAGGAAGCCAGGGAAACACTGCCAACCTGCCCCGCTGTCCGTTACTGGGTTACATGAGAAATCAGGGATAGGGGACCATTTCACCCCAATGGACCAGATCTTTATTTCTCAGGGCCAACTTTAACAGCTGGGTTGAAGAGAGGGGACTGTTTTCTTTTGGGGCAGGAATGTGGTTGTTTTTTTTTAGAAGCCCACCTATGTTATCAAATCATTCAGCACATGGAAATTCTCAGCATTATCTCTGGTTGCGATCCACGGAAATAAACACAGATCAAAATATATAAATGTATGATTAGGCAGAAACGGGATGTGCACACCGGGTTAAGGCACAAGCCATGGCTGATCGTGAATGAGGAGCACATGTGAGCGGCACGCCCTGCCTTATCACTCCTCCCCTAGCGCAAGTGGAGCGAGGAATCATGAGCCACGACCTTACTATGCCATGCAAACTTAACGCTCGTGGTTTATTTCTCTCAAACAAACCATGACGGGGAAGCAAAAGAACAAAACATTGGCTTCAGATACTGGTTTGTTTGGAGACAAACACCTGGCTTAGAGGTCCCAGCAAGGCAAGGGTCATGATGTGTTGCTCATGCCAGGGGATGAGTGAAGCGGGAGCGATTTGGCAGCAAGCTTTTATTGCTTACCATGTTGTCCAAACATGACTGCTGAGGTTATGAGTACCAGCATCAATTCATGGAGTGTGCCAAGAACAAGGCCCCAAGAAAGGATGTATTCTTGCTTCATGTGTTCTATTACCATCTGGCAGGCACTGGATGGTATGAAGTTCCCTGGGCATTACAAAAAATTGCCATGGGCAGTCGCTTGTTCGCATCAAGATTGGTTCATGTGTATTTATGCCACCAACACCTCCTGGAGCAGAGCATTGTGAGCCCGGTTTAGAGCTAGGGTAATTAGATCACAGTGCATGCATCCAATGTAGCATACAGCAGAGTAGCCCTCTAGAGCTATGTCCCCAGCCCATTACCTGTATATGACAAGCCACGCCAGCCGTAGGGGACTTTGTGCTCTTTTAGCTTCTCCCAGGTCTCCGGGGTGAAGTGCTGCTTCTCCATCAGCACCGGGATGCCAAAATCAAACTGCTTCCTCATCGTTGGGTCCACCTTTACTTTGGACTTCAGTGAGTGGGGACACAAACCGGACTGAGAAAGGCTTGGCGTGAGCAAATCCTAAAGTGGTAGAAGTTAACGTCCGTCAATATTTCTTTGGAATGTCTACTTAGGTAGGTCACAGAGAAGACTGGCAAAGAACATAGAACAACCTTAACAAAGCCCCAAATTATATACAGGAGTTCTCGGTTACAACACTACAAACACATGTTCATTGATGAAAACATTCCTGCACTCGGAAAACTCAAATGCTGAGATCAGGGGCGATTTTGCCAAATCAAGCAAAGAAACAGAACTTGAAAAAGCCTGTTGACATCTTTGGTTCTTGCCCAATGGCAGTGACAGAACCACAACAGACCACTGAACCCAAAGGGGAGGAAACAGCAGTCGGAGCAACGTTGTACAGAGGTTTGGGCTACACCCTCTGGGTTTGCTTAGCCTGAGCAGCTGCGCTAAACGTAATGTGGGATGAAGCCATGCAGGAGACTGGAACAGCCCTGGTGGGACAGGTGGGAAGTCAGGTGTGCTGAATCAGTGCATCTGATCTCTTAACAGTTTTTCTGTGTCCTGAGAAGGGGTTGCTGGATTTCCGTTGTCTGTTAAAACTTCCAGTGGGCAGCAGCTATCAGGTCACTAGTTCAGGGAATTACGCCTGTACTGAAGGTACATTGTTTAATTAGTTGACTGTTAAGGGTTGATGCTGCTCAGGACTAAACAAATGTTCCGCCCACACAGACACAACCCACTTGTGTAGCAGTTTTGCTTTGCTTTGCCCTTTCTTTGGGGTCAGCTCTTTCCTGCATCCCATAACACTTGATGGTACAGGAAGGAAGGGAGTGTATGACTATTTTCAAGCTGCACTGAATATTGAACAAAGAAATGGTGGAGGAGTATTGCAAACACCAGAGTGGGGTGGGGGCAAGAATCAGGGTTTAGGGAACCGTTTTTCTCTTCTCTTTGTGGGTCAGAGGAGAAAGCCTAAGATTTGTGGTTCTTCCTCCTTTGTTGTGACTCACGAGAGGAAAAAAATACATGTTCTGGGATGTGAGGTTGGAGATCAACGCTTTTTCACTTCTTGGCAACTCTGTAAAATAGCATTCCATACCGTCATACAAGTCAGATAATTTAGTGCACTAAACGAAGCATTCCAAATTTACTTCTATGGATCCGCATGAGCTTAAAGTCAGATGTTAAACAGCAGCGAAGAATCGTATTCCTAGCTCCCACTGTTTGATGCATTTGCACTGGCTATGTAAATACGCTGCCCATGATTAAAAGCCTGCCATTAACATCAAAGGCAGATTCACACGGGCTGCACGGATGACATCTGCTGCTAGACGGATGATTTGAATGTCAAAATTTGAATTCCAATTTTAGGGGCCAAATACCAATTTTTAAAGTCAAATATGGATGGTATTTGAGTTCTGATGAGAACGTCCAAGGCAAGCATCAGAATCCAAATATTGTGCAGCAGAGTCAACCTAAGCATGCTCGTGGCTGGGTTTTGTTTTTTTTAAAATATATTCAACTCATAGCCAAAAACATCTGCAGAAATTCTGATTTTATTTATTTTGACGGGATACCTTTTCAGATGCCGCTCTTGCGCAATGACCCTCAAAGTGGCCTACAATAAAAATAAAGTGAAGCAGCAGCCAAATTCTCTGATAATTTCTGTGATCGCAAGGGTTGGCGTGAGGATAAGGATACTGCTGGCTGTCGGTCAGAGTGAAAAAAGCATTAACCAGGGAAAGTGATATCCCCCTTAGGAAAGGATCCGACAGATGGAGGAATGGGTTCTTTTCAGACAAAGTTACTGGACAATACAGTTGTTCTCCATTTACTGTGCACATTTCAAGGCTCCATGTCTCTGGAGCTCTCTCCCCAAGGAAGTACACATGGCCCCACCTTTGTTACCTTTGCAATATACCTTTTCAAAAAAAAAAAAAAAAAAGGTTGCAGACTGTGTTTACTAAGCAGTGTTGTGTTGGGCTTTTAAACAGCTGTTGTGAGTATTTAGTTCTTTCACTGGTTTGTTTCATAAATCTATTTTTTTTTCAAAAAGCATGAATGGCCTTTGACTTGAAAGGCAGAATGTAGATTTGTGGGTGAATAAGATACATGAAGAGGGACGCGGGTGGCGCTGTGGGTTAAACCACAGAGCCTAGGACTTGCCGATCAGAAGGTTGGCGGTTTGAATCCCCGTAACGGGGTGAGCTCCCGTTGCTTGGTCCCTGCTCCTGCCAACCTAGCAGTTCGAAAGCACGTCAAAGTGCAAGTAGATAAATAGGTACCGCTCCGGCGGGAAGGTAAACGGTGTTTCGGTGTGCTGCTCTGGTTCACCAGAAGCGGCTTAGTCATGCTGGCTACATGACCCAGAAGCTGTACACCAGCTCCCTCGGCCAATAAAGCGAGATGAGCGTCGCAACCCCAGAATCGGCCACAACTGGACCTAATGGTCAGGGGTCCCTTTACCTTTAAGATACATGAAATAGACATCCCTGCAGATTTTGCATCAGTTCTCGGCAACTGCCTTTTCCTTGCAAATTACTGTATAATGCTGAATTGACCAGGAAGATCTAGGTTCAAAATCTACTTAAAGCATACTAGGAGATTTTGGGCATGTCACTGATGCCTTGCAGTAACCCTTTCTTCTCTCTCTCTCTCTCTCTCTGTGTGTGTGTGTGTGTGTGTGTGTGAAAGAGAGAGAGAGGGAAAGTGAGCAAAGCATCCTAAAGTATTTTGTTTATTATGTTGAATTCAAACTTAAGTCTTACTCAGAGTAGATCCCTTGAATTCAATGGGATTTAAATTAGTCACAACTAAGTTTAGCTTTAAGCAATTATTAATATAATTTATCATTATAAATTCTAAACTATTACACACACACACACACACACACACACACGCATTATATGAATATGCTACACATTTCTCTGTTAAGTCTTAAGATAACATAACCAAATTCTGCAGGATGGTTCCCAAGATCAAGGAAAAGCTTTTCATCTATGTCTGGGGACATCAGGGTGCCATTTTGAATCGAGCTGGCAGACTGAGCCTTTCAAAGCTTCACTGATTTTAACCAATGATTGCAAACCTATGCTGATTTGTTGTTGCTGTTGCTCCTTAGACTCCCCAAAGATTGCCAGGTATGAGGTATTCAAGTCCTGTGGATTTCAGTGCGTCTGCTCTAAGTGTTAATTGAGTGAGACCATCAACTGATAAGTTTTCACAGCATGCAACCCTTTTCCACTAAGCACACCTGACGCTAAGGCACTCTGTGGCTTAGAAGTCCAGAATTTCATTTTCAGAGGTTGTTCCTCTTGGTTGTAAACTAGCAAGCAAGAAAGTGAGGGATATACCTGTATTCGTGCCATGCCTGTTCCAGAGACATGTGGTCAACCTCTCTAACTCTGAATTAGAAACAAGTGTTGTGGAAGATTAACTCTTACGATGTGAGCCTTGAATAGCAGAGAGTAAATAGTTTTTATTTAGTTTTTAATGTTTGATATTTTGCTATGTTTTATATGTGCTGTAAGCACATTATGATGATGATGTCTGGGTGCTGACCTGCTTTTGGGAAGGGGACAAAGGGCAAGGAAGTCCTTAGAATGAAGGATGGACTTGTTACCTTCTCCTTAGGATGATTAAGAATTCCTCTCTCAGATGAATTTTTGGTTGGGTTCCCCCTAGAATGAAAACAGCAGGAAAAGGAGACTGACTTTCACGCACAAACATTTGTTCACTGTATACTGAGATGCCTACACTATCCAACAACCCTTTCTAAGGGTTTGCTCAACTTCCAGTGATTTAGATATGAAATCTAGACCCTTTTATAGCCATGGGATAGTTACAGATTGATGAACCTGTTGTACTGGGTCTGTCCCATTGCCATCCAGCCCACAGGAAGCATTAAAGAGCATATATCAACATTGCAGTGCACTTATGAAGATGAAACCTGTGATACTGTTTGCCTGGGCTGACGATCAGAATGTTCAGTTGCTCAAGGAACTAAAGACTTGGTAGTTGTAATTCTGTGAGGAAAGGGGAAGTTGTCAGCATGGCTGGATTTAAAAGGTTGCATGTGGCAGGTTAGGAATTGGGAAGGAAACCTGGATGCTGGGAAATCAAGGGCCAGGGAGTCCAAAGACAAGAAAGATGAAGGAAGGAAAGGTGCAGGGCAAACCATGGAATATGAAAGACAAAACTAGGAAGAGGGGGTTAGGGCTGCAAACTACTGTCAGAAGGGAAGTGGGCAAGCCTAGGACACTGGGGAACTGTGGAATCAAGAAGGTTATTAGCCAACATGGTGCCCTCAGAACCCTCTGGGCTACAACCCCCAGAAGCTCCAGCCTAAATCCTGACAGTGCAAATCTGCTAGCTGTGACTTATCTCGGCCCTGACATCCCTCTAGGGGCAAGAAGGACCCAGAAGAAGTGGGTGACTGAATCAAATGCATCAATTTTAAGTAACCACCCAATTCTCTGGCAACATTTCTGTGAGGAAGGGTTCACTCCAGCCTCACTTACCTCTTTGTGATGCTTTCTCTGGGCAGACTGTGGTTCCTGACATCTTGGGGAATTTCTGCTTGCGCTGGCCCCAGTGTCTCCTGCTGCAGCAGTCTGGAATACAGTAACAGAAGCAGGTGGAGAAGTTATGTATGGAGTTCTCATTTCATGCCAGCATTCCTATAGGTTTCGCCTCCAGAGACATCCATTTTATTCCACATCCATGATTATTTGTGCCCATGACACTACTGGATCAGTCACACACAACCCCACTATCAATACAGTTTGCATTTCTAAATGATTTGGGATGGTTTGCATGAAATAGTCCATGCATATCCCATAATCTCCTGCTGAAATCCCATAACCTTTTGTTATGGATTATTTGTTCTGGATTATGTTCTGGGTTATTTTTGTCCTAGGTTTGTTGTACCGTAGCCCCTACAGACAGCAATGACCACCTCCTAGTGGAGCAGCAATAAAACTGCTAGCAAATTTGCAAAGCTAAGCAGGGTCCAGTATGGGTTTCAAATTGGATGGGGAACCATGTGTAGAGATTGCTGAAAAGCAGAGGGTTGGGCTAGATGACCCTCAGGGTCCCTTTGAGTTCTATGATAGCACTGGGGAAGCATTGCAGAACAAACTCAAGCAGGATAAATCCACCACTAATGCACTTATTTATTGTGTCAAGGACACGTTGCAAAGTGTGCCTGCAAGAACACCAGTCTGGAGAGGCCCTCAGTCTGAGCTGCCACATAGCTCAGTTCTTAGATCTTGCAAACTTTGTGTGACTTTAGCTCTGAGGTATGTAGCTGTCAGTGTTTAGCAAAACTCTTGAATTAACTCATAATTTAGATGCTGAGGAATAACGTGTTCCACCATAAAGCATGGCAGCATGAAGCAATTCCTCCCCCTCCCCCCAGTTTTGCACAACACCTTAACTATACAATGAATTTAGATCTTAGAACACCAGGGCTGGTTTCCTTGTTTTTACATTGCAGGTGAAGTAGAAACAAGCATGGAGAATGTGGAGTTCAAGTACAGTGATACCTTGGGTTAAGTACTTAATTCGTTCCAGAGGTCCGTTCTTAACCTGAAGCACCACTTTAGCTAATGGGGCCTCCTGCTGCTGCCATGCTGCCGGAGCATGATTTCTGTTCTCATCCTGAAGCAAAGTTCTTAACCTGAAGCACTATTTCTGGGTTAGCGGAGTCTGTAACCTGAAGCGTATGTAACCTGAAGCGTATGTAATAGGCACATTAAAAAAACAACAACACAACCTTCTCTACTGGACTTCCCGGTGCTTGTAGGGATCCCAGTTTGCTCAAACTTGGCCTGAGTTGGTAAAAGGATCCACAAAGAAGGAGCAAAAGGCATTTGGGGGGCGGGGCGGGGGGAGCAAGGGCATAAGGACACGTTCCAACAAGATGCAGAAACTTGCAACGACAGAGTCTTGTGGTAAAACTGAAACCGGCCCATCCACATTTTCTTAGCTTGAACCGGTGTGATTTGGCAATCTCTTGCTTGGCGCAGGGCTGTTTCTCAACCATGCCTTTTGCAGAGCTGAAGTGGTTAGAGTGCCTCTCTATGGGTCTAAAACCCACTAAAGCAATGAAGCACACTGGGCTACTGAGAGGATAAAAAAGGAAGGGATGAGGATAAAATGGGGAGAGAATCAGAAATGCTGCCTTGAACTCCCTGGTAGTAAGGCAGAATATCTGTGTAACGAATGAACCAATGAATAAACAAATGTTATAAGAAAGATGCGTGGCAAACCTACATCTAATCAAACTTCTTTGCGCTGCCCAACTGCCTCATATTATTAGGCAAGGCAGGAACATTGTTGACTTGAATGGCAAGCCAGACTTCTTCCTGTTCCTACAAGGCTTAGCGGGCCAGAGACAAATGAGACATGCTGGCCCTGATTCAGGGACATTCCTGCACAACAGCAGGCTGCCTGCCGGAGGCTTTGCAGGATGATCCCCCTCCTTCTCCCCATCAAAGAGATGATTAACGCTGTCAGCTTAGATTGGAACAGCCCTTAGACTTCGCCACACACAATCCGCACATGGGAGATGTGAGCTGGCAACTCTCATCCTCTGCCTGGCATTGCATCTGTGGCAAAGGAACACAACACCTGCACAATGCCTGGCCAGGTGCTGGATCTAGGGATTTTGCATGCAGATCCGCTCCTCTGGATCCGAGTTCCCATGCTTTGCCTTCAGTAGAATACCAAACTCCAAGGAGTGTGGATTTTTATGTCCAGCTGCTTAATATTGGTATTAAGTATCCAAAGCCTCCTTTGTGGGTCTGGGCCAGTAACAACAGGTATGAATTTATGGCTCAGATCAGTGCAGCAGATCACCTCAGCCATTTGGATCATGGAGGATGTCTGTTGAGGGCTACTAGCCATGATGGCTATGTTCCCCCTCCACTGTCAGAGGCACTATGCCTCCAAACGCCAGTTGCTGAATACCAACCCTATTCATGCTTCCCAATATCACCGATTGGGGGAGTACTAATGCACTCCGGTCCTGCCTGTGGTTTTCCATAGGCCTCTGGTTGACCACAGTGAAAACAAGATGGCGGACTAGAAGGGCCATGGGCCTGATCCAGCAGGGGGGCTCTTATGATCTTATCAGTGTTGGTGCCGGGGTCACCACTCTTCTGCAGGGCCCCCACTTCCAATCTCTGGAGCCCCTTGGCCCCACTTCCCTGTTCACCTACCTAACCCCTTTGACAATGCAAGTGGTGACTCGAGTGAGGAGACAGAGCAGCATGCTGTCCCTTGGGGTGGTTGTGAGGCTGCAGCCCAGAGAAAGAGGGCAAGCAGATGGAGGCAGCAGTGAGGAAGGCATGCCCCCCCCCCCAAACCTGGAACCGACGCTGACTTGGATGGTCAGCTTGTATGAACCTGCAGGATAGGAGCAGGTTGAATGGGATGAGGAGGCAGGGAGAGCTGCTGCCAGAAATGGCTTTTGTTTTGTTTTGCCGTGGAGACCACCCCACCACCCTCAGTCTCCCCTCAGTCAGCTCCTCACCCCATACCCCTGGTGGCATTGCTTGTAACCCTCCTCCTCCTTAGGTTGTGTACATACATTCAAAGCACATTCTTTCCCTCAAAGAATTATGGGCATTGTGGTTTGTTGAGGGTTGCTATGAATTGTAATTCTGTGAGGGGTAAACTACACTACCCATAATTCTTTGAGGGGAAGAACGTTGCTTTAAGAGTGTCGTGTGTACACAGTCTTCTTAGTCTCAGTGTTGCCCTTGAGGATGGGGACAAAACTAGAATTACCTGTCTCTGCCTGTCTCTGAAGGGCAGCGGTTGCATGCCCACTGTTGGTCTCCCTGCCACTCTCAATGGGCATCAGCCCCCGCTGTTTATTTTAAATCTGCTATGGTTGTCTCAGCGATCTCTAGAGAAACCATATTTGCATTTCTGAACGTTACTGTTTGTTACTATTTAAGGACTATTGTTGCTGCAAACCTAACACAGTCTGACCGTGTGTTGCTTCTTTGCCTTGCAATAATTGCTCAACCAGTACATTTTTACATAAAGGGATTATTACAAAAGACGCAAGTTTTCCAGTCCACGTTCTTTGGAAAGTGAATGGAACAACTCTCCAGCCTTCTCTCTTTGGAAAGAAGCGGCTGTGAACGTCTTCCACTATCGGGGAAACAAGGAGCACAAAGCATATTTGGGAAATCCAAAGGGTTGATCCAGCAAAGAGCCCAGTTAAATTTATTGTGGATAAGAAAACAGCTTCAGGATCCCTGCCCCATGCAGGAAGATCCTGACTATTATTAATCTGACTAACTTTATTCTGAAATAAAATCACTCACAGGGCCCAATCTGGAACATGCTTCTGGATCAGGTTCCTTTTTTCTGCTGGAAAATGCCCCTTCCCTGGCTGCTATTTGTTCCCGAAGGTGCTGTTGGCAGTAAACATCCATTTGGGTTGCTGAAGTATCAGCCATAAGATTAACAATTTGCAGGAGAAATCAGTGCAAGACTGACCCCCATCAAACATGCAGTACATTCCGCACTGAGGCCCTGAAACTGGATTTTCTTCCAAATGATAGTGGTCAGATGAAGGATTATTATCATTATTATTCTTTAAAGCAAGCATGCTACTGATCTAGAGGTGTCCATGAGAATTTCAAAGGAATTCTACTTGAATGATTTCAAAAGGAGGCACCAGTATGAGATGCTGTATTACTTACTGAGCAAGGAATCTTGGCCGGAAAAAAGACAATGGCTTCATTTCCTACAACAGCATAACTCAGTTTTGCCAAGTTGATTGCATCTGTCACTGCTTCCTGTAAAGAAGCACTTGAGCTTGTTTTGAGCAACTGTAATTCAGGCACATCCAACTGGTTGATCGCTGGGGCACTGCAGGTCGATCGCGGGATTAAATAAATTGGGCCATGACACCTCTGAGCACTCCCCTCTAAAAGAAGCTCAACAACTTTGGGCACTCCTCCCAAAATAAGCTCAAGAACTCTAGGCAATGGCAATGGGTAGAACACTGCCTTTTTTATACTGGGAGTAGATCACAGTCTCTTGGGAGTTATCTGTACTTGTTGCATCTCATTGCTTCCAATGTCTATGCACTTTGCATGTGTATAAAAAGGACCCCTGACAGTTAAGTCCAGTTGCGGTGCTCATCTCGCTTTACTGGTCGAAGAGCCGACGTTTGTCCGCAGACAGCTTCCGGGTCATGTGGGCAGCATGACTAAGCCACTTCTGGCGAAACCAGAGCAGCGCACGGAAACGCCGTTTACCTTCCCGCCGGAGCAGTACCTATTTATCTACTTGCACTTTGACGTGCTTTCGAACTGCTAGGTTGGCAGGAGCAGGGACCGAGCAATGGGAGCTCACCCCGTCGCAGGGATTCGAACCGCCAACCTTCTGATCGGCAAGCCCAAGAGGCTCCGTGGTTTAGACCACAGCACCACCTGTGTCCCCTTGCATGTGTATACATACCTGCAATTGAAGATTAATATTACCATTCCTGCATCTGATGATGTGGCCACTAGTCCACACAAGTTCATGCTAATTTTTTAATCTTTAAAGTGTCACAAGACCCTTCATTGTTGTTGTTGTTGTTGTTTGCATATTTAAGGTAGCAATCCTTGCACACTTACCTGGGAGAAAGTCCCATTGAATGCAGTAGGCCTTACGGCTGAGTAAACATGCATAGAAGAAGAAGAAGAAGAGGAGGAGGAGTTTGGATTTAATATCCTGCTTTATCACTACCCAAAGGAGTCTCAAAGCGGTTAACAATCTCCTTTCCCTTCCTCCCCCACAACAAACACTCTGTGAGGTGAGTGAGGCTGACAGACTTCAAAGAAGTGTGACTAGCCCAAGGTCACCCAGCAGCTGCATGTGGAGGAGCGAAGATGCGAACCCGGTTCACCAGATTATGAGTCTACCGCTCTTAACCACTACACCAAACTAAGATTTGTTTTCACCTCTAGGTTGGTGAGATTTAAGCATGTGCTTCACTCCTATAGTGAAACAAATTGAATGTCAAATGTGCTCAAGTATCACTGGATCATGCCGGAGGTCTGGACAAATCAGCATATTTGCATGTGAAGACCACTATTTTACTGTACTTAAAGGAGCAAGTAGTTACAGAGTTATTGTAAAAAGTACAGGAAAGAACAGGAAGCACTTTGAGCCTGCATACATACCATCGATTTAAAGGTTACTGGAAAATGAAGCACTGTGAGAGATAAACTACAGTTCCCAGTACTTTTTTTTTAGGGGCAGGGATGGTGCTTTAAATGTATGGTGTGTATACAACCTGAAACTCTATATAAATATTATTATAAAATTGGGTCTCCCAGTCTAACTCAATTAAAGTACTGTACAAACATAGACACTAACAACTGCCACTTCTTATTCAGAAGGACGGACAAATCTGTCATTCAGATTCTCATTTTTCCCAACCTTAAGTTCAGTTCATTCCATTTTCACATCCATTTGCCATTTTCCCTTGAAAAAGTCCACATGAAGATTCACAGCTCACACACATTTCTTTCGATCTTTGTGTGCAATTTTGTCCAATATCATTTTTGCAAGCAATTTCCCCAACTATGTTGCTTTGCATACTATTTCCATATACCGTAGTTGTGCACACTTTTTCATTGGATAACTGCAGCACAAAATTTGGGGAAGTGAGAATTCTGAAGGGTATCTTATTAGTACAGGAAGTGTGAATTGGGTCATTCATATCAACTTCTTCCCCATCCCTACTCAGAAGTAAATCCTACTGTATTCAGCTGGGCTAACGCACAAATAAATGTGGGTTGCAGCCACACAACCCCTAGCTATTTTGTTCCTACTTCTTCTTTTCCAGATGCCTGTTTTGTCTTGGATCTTACCCAGCCACTGGTAAACCTGAGGTCAGGCAACTTGGCTAAGCCCTTCTCAGTCAACAGCTCCACCTCCCTACATGCTAGATGGGTCATCTTGGAAGAAGAAGAAAGAGGCCCATTCATTGGGAAACAGAAGGTTGACTTCAAAGCAACTCTCACAGCAGCCTGCCCAAGTTTGGGTGGGTGGGGAAATCAATATCACCATCGTGTATCTGTGAAAAATGCTTTATTGTGGATTAGACAAGGCATATGTTGTTGAAGAGGCATTTACTGAAATATGAGCTCTTGCTGATAGTATACTCGCCATCCTGGCTTGAACTTTCTGCAAGGCGTCGCCGACCTGAACTGGCTTTAGGGTTGAGTTTTAATGCGGCTCTGCCTAGTTAACACCTGCTTCCTCTTTAACAGAGCCCATCGAAACTAAACATGGGCACAACTGGAAGACAGGCATGTACTCCCTTGCAGTAATCTGGAGCTGCCACATCCACTGCAATGTGCAAATGAAGCTCCAAGCACAGACTGCTTTGTTCATTGCAACAGAGACAGTCAACCTCCATGTACAAAGAATGGAAGCACAGATTTTCTCCCTCCGGCAAAATGAATGGATTGGCTCTCTGTGTGTAGGTGTTTGTGTAGACCAGAGCTCCCACAACCATCAGGCATTGAGGAGCATGGCAAAATAATTCCGAGGGACCACAACGATCATCTAGTCCAACCCCCTGCAATGCAGAAATCTTCCACCTGGTGCGGAACTCGAACCCACAACCCTAAGATTAACAGTCTTGTGTTTTGCCAATTGAGCTATCCCTCAGCTGCCCCTTCTCCAAAAATGGATTTTAGGGCTGTATATAAAAAGAAACGTAGAATTACAAAAATAAATAATGCAATAAAATGAAGAGGAATAAAACTATCCAACCAGTGTGTGTGTGTGTGTGTGTGTGTGTGTGTGTGTTTGTGTTTTGGGTAAATAATAAAGTTGCAACCTGCACCGAAAATAATAAACTGTTGGCATCCAGGTGCCAACCCAGTGAAGGTCATTTCTTTTGGACATACAGCCAATGTACTTTTCCTGCAGGTGAAACAGACTTCCTCTGATGACCTGGGTGCATAGGCATTAAGAATTCAAGCCATTTCCCCCCACAACTAAAGTCAATGGGGCTTGATGGATTTACAACCCCGTCCATCTAGATGGACAGGTCTGTGGCTTGGCCTTAATGAAAGGACTCCTGCCCTTTGCACAACAAGCCTTTCCAGGAAGGCCACCAAGAACTTTTCTCACAACAGGCTTCAGGGGGATGTCTGCCACAGGCTACGCACATGCAGAACTGAAGAAACACGATCTGCTCGCTCCTCTGTGTGAAAATCACCATTTGGGTGTCACAAAGGTTTCCTTGTCTCTCTTTCTGCTCCTTCAGACTGGCCCTGGCCAGAAGGTCAACCCCTTGAACTGCAACTATTGGAATGGATTCCAAAACATCCCCCCTCAGAGGAATCAGTCTCCACATGCTCAGAAATATAGACCGGAGACTTTTTCAAAGCAAAAGGGGTGGTTTAAACTTATCTGTGAACTGGAGCAGCCCTGTTTGTTTTTGCTCTGGGGTACAAGTCCAGAATCTGGGTTCAAATCTCCACTCAGCCCTAAAGCTCACTAAAGTGACCTTGGGCCAGTAGCTTTCTCCTGGCCTAACCTACCTCACAGGGCTGTTGCGAGGATAAAATGAGGAAGGGGAGAAACTTATATGCTACCTCGAGCTGTTCAGATGAACATTTGAATCTTCAATAACCAGTATGCACAACCCTTCTCAACCTGCACACTTATGTGTTTTGCAACATATGTATTTCTATGAATGTCTGGTTTTTGTTCTGCTACTGTTCTGCTTGTGAAAGGATTATTCATACAGCCAGTGCAAACAATGGCAACGGGGCAAATGTTGGGCTCTGCCTAAGCTACTGGTGGGGCCAGAAAGGAGAAACATTAAGAAGGGAACCTCATGCAGGAGGCAGAAACATCAGCATAAGAGTTACGAGTTTGCTTATGAAGCCTGGAGGAGTAGGATCTTCTGAGTGGTTTACCCAATGATTTCTAAAAACAGTGGCTTCGTACGTACGCAACCTTTTCTTCTAGGACTCCCATGTCTTTCACTGCTGCATGGTAGGCAGCTCTTTAGGACATATTTCTTACATGCCTAGACCAGGGGTGGCCAACCTATTCTATTATTTAAGCGACGTGGGTGGTGCTGTGGTCTAAACGATAGAGCCTAGGGCTTGCCGATCAGAAGGTGGGCGGTTCGAATCCCCATGACAGGGTAAGCTCCCATTGCTCGGTCCCTGCTCCTGCCAACCTAGCAGTTCGAAAGCCCATCAAAGTGCAAGTAGATAAATAGGTAAATTTACCTCCGGCGGGAAGGTAAATGGTGTTTCCGTTCACTGCTCTGGTTTCGCCAGTCATGCTGGCCACATGACCCAGAAGCTGTACGCCGGCTCCCTCGGCCAGTAAAGCGAGATGAGCGCCGCAACCCCAGAGTCATCCGCGACTGGACCTAATGGTCATAGGTCCCTTTACTTTTACTATTCTATTATTATTATTATTATTATTATTATTATATTTATACACAGCTCATCTGACTGGGTTGCCCCAGCCACTCTGGGCGGCTTCCAACATATATAAAAACATAATAAAACATTAAACATTAAAGAACTTCTCCATACAGAGCTGCCTTCAGATAGCTCAGGGGTTGGATAACTCCATACCCGCCAACATTTCTCCAATGAAAATAGGGACATCCAAAGGAAAAGAGGGACATTCCGGGATCAAATCAGAAACCAGGATGACGTCTGTAAATCTGGGACTGTCTCTGGAAAATAGGGGAACTTGGAGGGTCTGCTACACTGAGCCTGGAAATAGCTATCCTGAGTGTCCCAGTCTGAACCTATGGTTTGCCTATTCTAGCTCATGAATGCGAAAGGTCACCCAAAGTAGTGACAAGGCTACAAGGGAGATGCCACCCAGAATTGTCTCCGGCACTAAGCGGAGGAGACGTTCACATTTGGAGTTAATGATTTCAGATATCACAAAAATAAACGCAATATGTCCATCTGTTACAACTTGGCAGGCACCGGCTTTATGCAAATGATGTGCAAAACCTGTTAATTACAATTAGCTCAAATATACAAATTAGATGCCGGCACCTGGATATCGTATGTTGCCAATGTGGTTCTCAGAGCTGTTCACCCCTGATCTAAAGGGACCTGCAGCAGAAGTCTATACAACTTATGGAAACATGTATTTGGATTTAGCCTTGCGAAAACAACTTCTAACAAATCTGTCTCACTCAGACATGTCTTTCTTCCCCATCACCTCCCCTGCAAGCTTCTTTCGGACGTCAAACCCAACGAGAGCCAAAGCATCAATCAGATTTTCCCTCGACCCGTCGCCAGGAAAGAATGTCTACTGGTGTGGGTATTGTTATAGCTAACCTACATCTGTTTTCTTAAAATTAAAAACAGCAACAGCATTTTCACACTTAGAAAATGCGATACAAATCCACTGCATTAATGCATTTATTATTATAAGGGTAAGAAAGGTAAAGCTATTATATTGCTTGACTTCCAGATTATGGATTAATTAAATTGATTTAATTAATTTCTTAAATTCTTATGGAGCAGCTACATCACCAAATCAACCCCATGGTCCTTAATCTGTAACTACACACACACACTGGACTCCAACAACTTAAACATTCCTTAGTTTTCTTGCTTTCTCAACATGGTTGTTCATTTTATAATCCCAACCTGCTCCTATAACTTCCTTATCAGGTCTGTTTTACTTGGTCTTGCACTTTCCCCTTAGTTTTTAGCATATCCTATCATGACCATCATAGGAATGCATCATACCCGCACTTGGTAGGTCGTTAGGGTGCTATATTTTACATAATTAAATGAACAAAGCAAAGTGTCCATCTGAAATGCATCTTTAAGCATATTAATCACCATATGCTAAAAGCTCACAGCCTTCTGGCATCTCCATCCAATTTGATATAAATCTTCCCTGACCAAGTGCGTTGCCTTGAGGTCAGATTCGACGTTGGCTTTACCAGAAATAAATTATTTGCGTTAAAACTATTGCCTCAATTACCCTCCACATTCTACTTTTATTATGACACCATGTAATTCCGTTTTAATCAGTAAACTTGTTAAAAGCACGCAATTGACTCAATTGCAAAACTCTGAATAAGTGGCTAACGTGTAGGGCAATTGAAGTTTTGTTGTGGTTACCTCAGTGGCAGTTCACAGTTACCATAGTTCCTTGAATTACAAAGCAATAAGGGCAGGTCTCGGCCAGGGTCATTTGTGTGAAAGACTTGCGCCAACAACAGTCAATTTTTTTGTCTGACAGAAGGAAACAGGATTAGGAGCCGCATGTTAGACCTAGGGAGGGTTAGGAATAGTAGTCTAATTAAATGTATCAGGCAAGGACCCTAGAAATTACATCCTGATTTCTAGGCACTGCCTGTGGAGATACTGGGTGATCTGTATGCAGAGCAGGGAATCCTGCAAGGACTGGAATCAGCAAATAAAAGGAAGAAGTGGAAGCAAGAGGCATCTAAATCAGTTGGTTTTGAGCTGTGTTTTGAGATCTTTTGGGGGGCAGCCACAGATAGGCTCCTTGCCAAATGTTGTGGTGCTCTATTTAGACCAAGGTTCCCCAAACTTGGGTCTCCAGCCGCTTTTGGACTACAATTTCCATCATCCCTGACCAGAGGTCCTGCCAGCTAGGAATGATGGGAGTTGTAGTCCAAAAACAGCTGGAGACCCAAGTCTGGGAACCAAGTTTGTGAACCAAGTTTGTCCAAGGTACCGGACAGTCAGCATCAGGAAACACAGCAAAAAACGGTGGTCTTATTTAGCAGATATTCAAAGGATCTGACCTGATTTCAGCTTCTGGAGCATAGTCCCAGGAATGGCTGAGTGATGAGGGCAGCTATCGCCAGGGGTGGACTTTGATAACATGGTGCCCTGAGCAAGGACAAAATTTGCCCCCTACTTTAATATTTCTTATTTTCACAATAATTCCTTTTGGTACAGTTGCATTTTTATGGATCTTCTCAGTAGGTTCCCGTATTAATATAGGTATATTATTATTATTATTATTATTATTAATAATAATAATATTGTTATCATTATTGTTATTATTATTTTGCTCCCCTTTGGTTCAGCACCTTGTGCAGGGGAGACACCCACACCGCCCTAAATCTGGCGCAGCTCTTACACAGTTCCTCAAATATGACCCAGTGTCTGGGGGAAATTATCATTGTCCAAAAGCACAGCAAGTGTTATTTTTGGTTAAGTAGAATGTTAGCTAGGTCTACAAGGGAGCAAGATGGCTGTTATGAAGCATCCTCAAAGGAAGTCTTTATTTCCTCCGGACTTCTCCCCTAAGGCCTTGTGCCTCTGAAGGCATTGCTTCATCCAGAGAAAGGAGCTTCCACCTACAATTTATTGCTATTAGGAGCACAGTAGATGTTACAGACCAATGTGTGTAATAAATCTTTCTTTCTGACAAATAACGGGGGGGGGGGAGGTGTCAGGGAACTGCCATCAGTACTGGAGGGAGAGCGCAAAAGCTAGAGGGATTCCAGAGAGCGTCCAGGGATCGGGAGAAGCAGCCCATCTTCTGGGGAAGAGAATCAGCGTAGCACCAGTGGAGAAGGGGGGCAGGTGGGGGAAGTGGTGAGGCGGTCCCATGACTCCTTGCCTGGGACCAGCGGGGAGAGTAGAGGTCCTCCGCTGCCCACGCCCTCCCTGCGCAGAAGGCTTCCGCGCAGAGAGGGTAGGCGGAGACTAGGCGTCAAAGAACGTCTTTGCTGGAAGAAGTTTAAGAAACACCCACTCACGGATTCTGCCAGCGACTGAGTCAGCCACGGGTGAGTGGCTGTCCGGACAGAGGAGGTTCACTTTGGCAGCCCAGCCAGGTGTTTGCAACCAGCCAGGGAGATAGGCATCTGCTTACGCACGAGCAACCCCTTAGAACCATTACAGGAGGCTGCTTAATCCTTTCCCCACTGGCCATTTCCCTGCTGAAAATAGTATATCTCTCTCATCTCATCCACCAGCTTCTTTCTCATGGACTCATATAATTTTAGGATGAGAAGAGACCCCTGTGAGGTTCCATATACAGGCAAATGTGCATGTAACTCTATGAGGCTGCATTTTAATGTTTTAATGTTGTATTTTAGTCTTGTTTTTTAAGCTGTATTTCAGTCAATTGTTTTTATATTTGGTGTTAGCCGCCCTGAGCCCGGTCTTGGCTGGGGAGGGCGGGGTATAAATAAATTTTATTATTATTATTATTATTATTATTATTATTAACTCTACAGGTGAACACCAGCTAGAGGCTGGAGCAGAAAAAGGGACCTTCCCCTCCACAGCTCATCTGATACAAATCCCAGCCTCCGAAGGCTGTGTTTCCCTGTGCTCTAGTTTTCATTAGGAGCATTTAGCTCGCCCTTAGTTGGCCTAGAAATTGGGGTCAATTTGGATTTGATATCCCGCTTTATCACTGTCCTAAGAAGTCTCAAAGCGGCTAACATTCTCCTTTTCCTTCCTCCCCCACAACAAACACTCTGTGAGGTGTGTGGGGCTGAGAGACTTCAGAGAAGTGTGACTGGCCCAAGGTCACCCAGCAGCTGCGTGTGGAGGAGCGGAGACGCGAACCCGGTTCACCAGATTACGAATCCACTGCTCTAGTGCTCCTTGCCATTTGCTTTCTTCGTAAGGAAAAACTCTGGTGCAGATTTACCAGATCCTGCCCCTCTGAAAACATGCAGTGAGGAGGAAGTCACTTTGATGTATAAAAAGAAAGAGAGGGGAAAAGAAGGAATGAGACCCAAATGTTTATTTTGCAACTAGACTATACGTATACCAGCAGGGCAATGGTGTGGGAAATGGAAAGTTCTGATAAGTGAGTTGAGATGAAAAACTGAACTTTCCATCTCAATAAAGATAGGACACGTTATTACCTCCTATCATTCTGAAAAATGCTGGGGCAATTGTCATCCATCTTTCAACTGGAATTGTTGTGGGGTGGTGGGGAGGGGAGGTTGGATAAGAGATATCAGAACTTCGACCCTCACAGACCTGACAAAATGTGTTGTTTGCTCAACTGAAAGGAAGAGGTTGGAGAACAGGCTGGGCAGTTATGTCTCCTAAACTCCAAGGAGCTACCCTGAAGGACATGAACTGTAAAGAATTGCCCACAAACTCTGGGGTTGCCATATTTCAAACCGTGAAAATCCAGACAGTTTGAGCTTTTTTTAGTTTTGCCCAAAGTGGTTCAGCTTTTGGGACAAAATTGCTAAAAAAAACCAAAACCGTTTTTGAGCTACTTTTATTTTAAAAAGGCACTGCCGACATCGGCTGCCGTACGTCCGGGTTTTCCAGGACATCAGTGCCGATTTCTGCCTGGACACTGCTGGTGACTGCAGTATTCTGGATATATCCAGCAAAATCTAGACGTAGGGCAATCCTATAACTTAGAACTTTTCTATTTTACAACAAAGACAAATGTGTCCATTTCACTTAGTCATGCTGAGAAGGTTGGGCCATAGCAGAAAAACTGAGGAGGAAGAGGGGGGCAGAGAGAGCTCTTAAACCATACGTAGCTTGGATATGGAATGCCTTTCAAGTTCTTGAGATAATGGGCAGTATTCAACTAAACAAGTTTGTGAACAGAATGACTTTTCCTCATTGGAGGATGGGACTTTCCCTCCCCTCCTCCCCCTGTGCACACTATGCCATCTCCCAATCTGCTCTGGAGGATTGGAGGAAACCCCAGAACATATTTAGATGGAAGGGGGGTGGGGAGGGGGGTAGCCCAGTTCATAGACTCCTAGAGTTGGAAGGGACCACGAGGGTCATCTAGTCCAACCCCCTGCAGTGCAGGAATCTCTCACCCAACATGGGGCTCAAACCCATGATCCTGAAATTAAGAGTCTCGTGCTCTGTCAAGTGAGCTATCACGCCTGGCAACTGTGCAAGCAAAAGTTGTTCTGCGACTTAGCAGTACGTTGGACATGACCCATTCAGTTCAGGAATGTCCCTCCTTCTATTGTAGGCCTCAGAACATTGGGGGGTAAGGCTCCTCCATCAGCAGAGGTGGCTAAGGCTGCGTGGAGGGGACATCTCCACCCCCACCCAAATCCCGCCTCCGGCACAGGTGATCAGAGGCTTGGATTGCTCTGCAAGAAAAGGGGTGCTTTTTTTACAGCATTCCCATTTTCACTATGCCATGTCCCAGGCTTGCTCAGCAAAGAGGCCCAGCAGCGCCAGTTCCGGAGGGCCAGCTCAGGATCCAGTGGGTCCTGTGCTGGCCTAGCATGCAAGATGCTGTCTTTTGGGGGCTCCAGCGACTACCCGCGGTAACTTCCACCCACCTACTGGGGTCAGGGAAGTTCAGATTCAGGGTTGTTTTGTAGTTAAAACCACAAACTGCGGGTGGAATTCAATATAAAGCCAAGTGGGGTATCTGTGTATGGAACAAGGTCTGCTCATACAGCAAGACCTTTCCACTCTCTCCTTCCCCCAGGAGTGCTCTAGACCAGCCCTGGCGATTCCCCCAACCTGCCACTGCAGATTTAGAAGTGCAAGGGGAAAGCCCTGTTGCATGAGTGAATCTCATTCCATGTACACAACAACTTAGTTGAGTCCCACTCAAGTAAGAGTAAGCCTTAGTGGGTTACACTCAACTAACTTATAAACTAACTCATAGTGGACCCAATGAATTTAAGGGACCTAAGTTAGACATAAGGGACACTGGTGGCACTGTGGTCTAAACCACAGAGCCTAGGGCTTGCTGATTGGAAGGTTGGCAGTTTGAATCCTCGCGATGGGGTAAGCTCCTGTTGCTTGGTCCCAGCTCCTGCCCACCTAGCAGTTCGAAAGCACGTCAAGTGCAAGTAGATAAATAGGTACCGCTCCGGCGGGAAGGTAAACGGCATTTCCGTGCGCTGCTCTGGTTTGCCATTTATTCATCTTCTTTAAATATATACTCTTATGAAGCTGCAGGTTATTACAATAATCCTGCCAATGTTCTTATCTGTTTACAATTTACAGTCATACCTCATGTTGCGTCCGCTTCAGGTTACACGTTTTCGTGTTGCGTGGCGCGGCAACCTGGAAGTACTGGAACCGGTTATTTCCAGGTTTTGCCACTCGCGCATGCGCAGAAGTGCTAAATCGCCTCGCGTCAGTTCCGTGTTACGGATGGGCCTCCGGAACAGATCCCGTCCTTAACACGAGGTTCCACTGTACAGTGGTACCTCAGGTTACAAACGCTTTGGGTTACAAACACTTTGGGTTACAAACTCCACTAACCTCAGGTTGCGAACTTTGCCCCAGGATGAGAACAGAAATCACACACCAGCAGCGCGGTGGCAGTGGGAGGCCCCATTAGCGAAAGCACGCCTCAGGTTGAGAACAGTTTTGGGTTAAGAACGGACCTCCGAAACCAATTAAGTTTGTGACCCAAGGTACCACTGTATCTGTAAATATTCAATAAACCATTTCCATTCTTTTATTTTTAAAAAGTTATCTTAATGAGTTTATTCTGAGAAAACATTTGTTCAAAACAACCCCTATGCACTGGCCACCCCTAACTCAAAGCTAAACTATGAACCTGCTGAGTGAAGTTAAGGAATTCACTATGTCTCACCTCCTGCAAGTATAATATGGAGATACGGTAGTCCTGGCCAATCCCACTAGAGCTTTAAAGATTATTGATGTATACAAAACACTTTATGGACTACATTTGGTATGGGGAACTTTTGGCCCTCTGGATGTAGCTGAACTACAACTCCCATCAGCCCCAGAGAGTATGGCAATAATGATGGGAGTTGTAGTTCAGCAACATCCAGACGGCCAAAGATTCCCCACACCACAGGTAGTCCATAAAGTGCTTCATATGGTCATTTTAACCGAAAGATACACAACTAGACCTGAAATTCATAGAACATACTGCTACATTCAGAACTATTGAATGCAAAGTGAAAATACAGAAAGGAGGGAGGGTCTCACACTCAGATCTATGGGTAGTTGCGAGTGCCGTGTGAAACTTCACCCTTCTCCTTTCAAACATGGATGGGTGGACAGTATAAAGTAAAAGCTGAACTTCAGGATGAAATGAAGTGTGGAGCCTAAAGCAAGTTTTCTTTTGATGCTTGCCGAATGGTTTCGACTATCTGGGATCTGAGTTTTGGGTCCCAACCTGTTCCAAGAGAATCATCCCTTCTGAGCCCCTCATCCATCTCTTAAGCAGTAATGAAAGCAGATGACATCTGTATCTAGGAGCCCATGAGCTGTAGGGCAAGTCCTTTAAGCTTAGTGAGCTTAATGTGGGTGAACCATCTTGCAGGCACTTCCCAACATAGGCTTCGCCAAGCTGGCGCCCGGCAGTCGCTCTGAACTACAACTCCCACCAGCTGGCTGGGCCTGAGGGGAGTTATAGTCCAAAACATCTGCAGGGCGCCAGCTTGACAAAGGCTGCCGTAACATCTTTCCAGCCCTCTGTACTTGTCTATTCCAACTTTCACACCACTGCTCTTAGCATAGATTACACAGCTTCACCGGCTTACAAATGTGGGGCTTTAGTCTGCCAGGAGCAGAGTAGGAAGGCTCCTAAGCAAAGGTACGGGCAGTACATGTTCCCTGGGATCTGCAACTCATCACGGGACATAGCAGCTAAATGAATGGCAAAATCTGAGCTGCACTTTGCTCTCTTGTCCGTTTGTGTGTGTGGACAACAGCACCCTGCATGTCAACAAACAAGACAGGACACGCTGCAACCATGCACAGCACCCCATCTTCAAACTTGAAGCCACCTAGTGGCACCCTCTTAAGAACCCTGCTTTCGCCTGCTTGGTCTTCCTGGCCCCACTGTGTGGGAATGTGCCTTCATGGCTAGGAACTCTTGAACGCACAGGCGTCTGGAAGCCTCAACTCTCTGCTTCCCATGCATTACTCACTCCGCTGAACTTAATTAGCATGCCTGGCCTGCTTTTTATTCCTAGCCTTTTGGGAGCTGGGAGTACAATACCCTTCCTTCTCTCCCAACACTTGCCTGCCCTTCCTCGCTCTCCAGGAGAGAGGTAGCGTTGTCGCTGTGCGCTTTGTTTCTGCCACACATATCTGCCCGCGCCTCGGAGGGCGTGTGTTCCATTGTAAAGCAACATGTGCAGTCACATCTCCGAAAGCAAGCTTTGAGGTTCTTCCAGGTTTAAAACTCCCCCTCGCTTTAAAAATAAACGAACTTGCACGGTGTTTTTAGATACAGCTGCGGTTTCGGTCGCAACCCCATCGGATCAAAATAAACCACACGCAAACAAAAGAATATTAAGCAAGAGTCTTCGATTCCGAGGCTGGGTATACACACCATACCCTAAAAGCACATATCTCTCCCCATCCCCCAACCCAACCCAAAGAAGAATGGGAATTGTATCTTATTTAAGGGTATTGGGAACTATCGCCCTGCGAGATGTAAACTACAGTTCCCATAATTCTTTTTTTTCTTTCAGGAGCAAAGAAAACGCTCTTGGAATGTGCTTGAAAAGTGCGGTGCGCACACCGCTCTTTCCTGTTCTGTTTCCAACACGATTACCAGGTTCCCCTGGTTTTGATTTTTTGGGGGATTGCGCCTTTGCCCCAAACACCCTCGCACAACACACAAGGGATGCCCCTCATTTCTGAGTAGCCGGCTGCTCCCTAAGCATGCTAGGCAGGGCTGTGTTTTTCTCCCGCGACGCTGCTTTTGGGAACATTTCTCTCCCCCACCCCCACCGCGCCCCGCCCTCCTGACTTACCTGGGTGAATCCGTCGTGGTGTAGTAGTGCCCGTAAAAGATGACCGAGAACGTTATCCCTATCAGAAACAAAAGGCAGAGCCTCTTCCACCGGGCAGACCCCATCCAGGCAAGTTTGGAGCACGCCAGCAGTAGCAGGAGGAGGAGGAGGAGGAGGAAGAAGCCTTCCTCCAAAAAAGGCTGGCCTCCCGATGCGCGCTATCCTAGGCGCTGCCAAATGAAATCAGAGCCACCTTCGCTTCCCAAGCGATGCCGCCCTCCCTTTCAAAAAGCAAAAGGGGAGTGGGGAGTGGGGAGCTCCACAGTGGCTCTTTCAAGCTCTTTTGAAAAGTTCCCGAGTTGCTCTCCTGCCTGACTTTGCCCTCTTGAGCCCAGCTGGAAGAGGTCCCCCGGGCTTTGGGTATTGTGCGGCGCGTAATAAAGACCTCCTTCTCTCTTTCTCTCGCGTCTCCTCCCTCTCCCTGCCCTTCCATCTGTTGATAGCTGCCAATGCACCTTCCCAGGATAGCTAACTTAAGCAGAGGGAGAGAGGCTGTGTATAATGGGGGGCGGGGGAGAGACAGCGTACTTCTTCTCTAACTGGTTTAGACTCGCTCGCTGGTGGAGGGGGCGACGGGAGTTCCTACTCCTAAAACAGCTACTAATTCTCAGCTGGAGATTAAACATTTACTCGGGCAGGAAAGGAGCATGCTTGGAAGCTGATCATTCTTTAGCCTTGACCCGCGAACGTGGTTTATTTTGGTTTTTTCCCCCCTCTTTTGGAGGGAGCAGGGAGAGGGTGATGGAATTCATAAACGCTTATTTCCGATGAAACAAGGAGCTTTTACGCACCCAGGAAGCGCGCGTGCGCACCCCCATTTCGAAAACCTCGCAGCAATATGTGAGAGGTTTCGGGCGGGGTTGGCGGGGTGGGGTTGTTAGCGCTGATCTAAATCCGGAGTTACTCCTGCTGTGTTGTTGCGTAAACAGAAGAGCCCTGGAAGAACGGCTGTGCTGCTGGGCTAAGTAAAGACCCGCCCACCCTCGCTGAAGAATGTATGGAAAAGACCCACGTCCCATCCCCTCCAACCATTGCAGGTACTACTCACTGAATTTCCAGGGAGATTTGTCTCTCCTCTGCCCTGCCCTGAAGAATTCAGACTCCTGCCCCCCACCCCTTGCAACTTCACTGGGCAAAGGCCAGCTCCAGAGGGTGACCAGGTTGGGCATTTTCCAAGGCCCCAAGACCAACTTTGCACAGAGAATGTGCAAAGTTTGTGTGTCTTGGGCAGTTTGTATGTCTTGCCTTCTCCATGGGGTGCTGTACCTGAGGAGGGGGCCCAAATCCATGAATGCCTGATGAATTTGCATGCGCGAGAATTTGCGTGTCTCCATAATATAATACAGTGGTACCTCAGGTTACATATGCTTGAGGTTACAGACGCTTCAGGTTACAGACTCCGCTAACCCAGAAATAGTGCTTCAGGTTAAGAACTTTGCCACCCAGGATGAGAACAGAAATTGTGCTCCGGCAGCGCGGCGGTAGCAGGAGGCCCCATTAGCTAAAGTGGTGCTTCAGGTTAAGAACAGTTTCAGGTTAATACTGGATCTCCGGAACGAATTAAGTACTTAACCCGAGGTACCACTGTACAGAAGGTTCGTCCCTGAGATCACCAAACAAGACAAAGGCAAGGGACTTGTTTTCTTTATCTTTCTCTACCTACAGCCACTGAATCCACACTGTACCTTCAAAGCACACTCAGTGCACATTTAAATCTCATTCCTCATCCTGAGAACTGTAGTTTGCTAAGGGTACTGGGTATTGTAGCTCTGTGAGGGGAAACTAGGAAGTCCCTGGATTCTCTGGGGGAAGTCAGAGCCTAGGGCTTGCCGATCAGAAGGTTGGAGTTCGAATCCCCGCAACAGAGTGAGCTCCCATTGCTCGGTCCCTGCTCCTGCCAACCTAGCAGTTCGAAAGCACGAAGTGCAAGTAGATAAATAGGTACCGCTCCAGCGAGAAGGTAAACGGCGTTTCTGTGTGCTGCTCTGGTTCACCAGAAGCAGCTTAGTCATGCTGGCCACATGACCTGGAAGAAGTAACCACCCTGGTTACTGGTAATGGCAAGAAATACAATAAATAAAAATAACAGTGATAATAACAAATCCCCATGTCTGGGGTTTAAGGGGAGGGTTTGCACTCAGAAGATATTTGCTTTCTGGTAAGCTTGAGTCCTAGCAATGCACTAAATAATCACCAGCTGAACTCTAAATAAATATTAAGAAATGACTTGCAGTTAGTGCAATGATGGTGCAGCCAAGGTCTGAATCTGCCTCTGTGCAGCCATCCTATTAATGTGCTCACAATCAACATGACGCTTTGTATTACACACATTCACACATAAAAACCTATGTGTGGAATTGCAAATGAAAACCCTGGCAGCTTCCTAAATCCCTGTCAGTGGAATTAGGTGAGCAAAAATAGCCTCCCATAGAGTGGTACCCCGGTTTACGAAATTAATCCGTTCCGGAAGTCCGTTCTTAAACCGAAACCGTTCTTAAACTGAAGCGTGCTTTCCCTAATGAGGCCTCCTGCCACCGGTGCCCTTCCACCGTTCGGAATTCGTTCTTAGACCGAGGTAAAGTTCGCAAACCGGGACACTACCTCCGGTTTTGCGGAGTTTGTAACCCGAATAGTTCGTAAACGGGGCTGTTTTTAAACTGAGGTACCACTGTATTCAACTTCCCAATAGCTTCATTCACATTTACTCCCACTTATGTCAAAATGGAGAGATTTGCAGACATGATGCAGAATCGTGCTTCTTACCACATTGATGTTGTCACACAAACTTGCTCTGAAAATACAAAGGACTGGATTAGCCATCAAACTAAATGATGTTGTTGTGTAGGAGGTGTATATGCATGTGTGTGTGAGAGAGAAAGAGGCATTGTTTATGTCGCTTGATTGTAGAAAATTATATGTCGCTTGACTGTAGAAAAACCCCTCAAAGTGGTTTTCCAAAAAAAGGCTAAAACAACAAAATTATCGCTAACATTTTTTACAATAATGTAATACATAAAATACAATAATGTAAAACATAAAAAAGTTACAACAATAGACTGAAACTAAAGAAAATTCACATCAGCTTTCTAAACATCTGGTTAGGCTTGTCTAAACCATAATGTTTTTAGCAGGCACCAAAAAGAATACAGCAGAGCAGGATCTGAATCCAGACCATCCACTGGTGTTGTATGAACCACCAACGCTACTGGGATGTAAAAGAAAGTGCTTGTATGTGACAGGACGTGTTCAGGTTCCAAACCTAACTGAAATCCCCTTTTTGGGCCTTCATGAATGCCACTGCCTGCCAGTGGCACAGTGTCCCAGTTTAGCACTGTTAGCATTCTTCCATACAGAAGGAACACTTTGTATGAAGGACAGAAACTCAACAAATGCTGCTTTCTCCCACTACATCTAATCCAATTTCTTGCATATGGCAAGAATGTTCTTCAACCAGGCATTGACTTGTCCATGATCCTGACTACAACAGTCCATTTCCTGCTAGTGGCACCTGTCCTGTGGAACGCCCTCACGTCAGATGTCAAGGCGATAAATAACCATATAACTTTTAGAAGACTTCGGAAGGCAGCCCTGTATAGGGAAGCTTTTAATATTTGATGTTTTATTATGTTTTTATGTGTGTTGGAAGCTGTCCAGAGTGGCTGGGGCAACTCAGTCAGATGGGTGGGGTACAAATAATAAAATTATTATTGTTATTATTATTATTATTAGCATATGAGGTGCACTGCAGAAAGCTGTTTAACTGGGCAGATAGCTTAAGAAAGACAGGGATTTTCAAGCTGGATACCTGCGGTTCCTTGAAAGCTCATAAAAGGATCTTCAAGAGCAGAGTAATGGCAGTTCAGGTTCCACAAAAAAATGAAAACATTGCGATTCCTGTTTGAGGGGTCAGTCTGAATCCCTCCCAGACCTGTGACCCTGTATCTATTTAAGGGGAAACCAGCTAAACCAGTTCCTTTGTTTGGGTAATAGCTTGAGCTAGCCATTTACATATCCAGAGAAGTTGCCCTGTTGCCATAGGGACAAATGGGTGGCCTTCCCCCAGCTTACCTGGCTGGCTGGCACATCATCCTAGGATGCAGAACAATAGGCCAAGGGGTCTGTGCATGAGTAAGTTTGGGCTGATGCTGGAAGCTGGAGACACAGGCTTGTCTTGCTCTGTACTGGATCCAAAGTTTGGGGCTCCCCAGGAAACCTAGTGTTAATGCTGTGTTCCCCTCCATCTTTAACTCAGGTTGTATATATGTGTACAGAAAACTATATAACCTAAAGACACCACAGTCTCTTCATTTCAAGGAAACCAAACCCTGGGTAAGTACTGGAACTGCTCGAGTCTCTCACCACTCGTGTACTGGGGCGCATGATGCAGCGAGGCTATTACTGCTATTAATTAATATTATAGCACAGCAGCAACAATTATACCCACCACACCATGTTTGTAGGAAGAGAGTTAGGCCCATCAGGCATGGCCCACAACCTGCTTGCACGGGCCTAGATTAGAATATTCCAAGTTCCTTTTGATGTAGAAAGGATTCCCTCAGACAAGCATGAGACTCTGAATCCCAGGATAGTGGGTTTGAGCTCCACGTTGCATTTCAGGGGGTTGAATTAGATAACTCTCGTGGTCCCTTCCAACTCTGTGATTCTATGACCTCTATGCTTAAGTCAGAAAGTTTTAAAACCACTTCCGTAGATATTTAATACCACTTCCGTAGATGTTCCACGTTACATGCAGTTTGGGTTTGCAAATCTTTGGATGTGGCCACAGCTCAAATATTTAGAATGTATATATGCTACCAGGAGTGAAAATGCATTGTGTGAAGGTACTATGGAATATTTGAGGGCTCTGCATCCTTTATCAGCTGAGGAATGGAAAAGAGAGACATTTGAGTATACTGACAAATTCTCCTTCTTATCTCCCAATGCCTCCTCTTGCTCCTCCATAGCTCTGCAAATGCCCCCTTTAACCACATCTAATTCCATCTGCCCTCTTTCCAATTTCTCCTCCGGACCAGCTTTCCCCTTGTAACCAGAACCCTTAAATTACCCCCCCTCTCTCTCACACATACTCCCTCCCTATTTCCCATATTTTCCCTCATCTATGGAAATGCCACCTTCATCCCCACCAAATGCCCCTGCCCGTTTTCTAGTTCCTCCTTCTCTTCCCCTTGTCACCAGAGGACTAAAACTGTCACACTGATTTATAGGGCTTGAAATGCTCCCAATGGTCAAATTTCGGGAAGGACACATGACCTCCCACCTTCCCTGGCCTTTTAAGCTTTGGGATCCTGGTGTTGCCCCCATGTCTTCAGACTTTTATGCTTCCCCAGCAAAACCAGCAGTGGCAGGAGAACTGCTCATAACTCCACCATAATCAGGCCACATCGGCCTGGGCAGGCCGGGTCTTCCTGTTATATACCTGCTGGGATTGACAAAGTGTATGACCCTCACCTGAATCTCAATTAACTCTTTGGGGGGGAATTAGCATCAGACGTCATGTGCATGGAAGTTGCCAAAGCAATTAACCAGCTAGGGTTATTGTTAATAGCACCAGTTTCCCTATAATTTGATATTGATGGATAGCTCTGACGAATTGTAAAAGCATTTTTAGTTTGCTTTCTGTTGCCACCCTGGAACTTTTCTTTATTATTGCTTGCTGCCTTGATTAACAGTTGTTGGGAACTTCAAGCTCCCTGCTCTCCCTTCTTATGGTCTTTATATTGCACCTGGAGACTCCAATACAGAGCATTCCATGTCAAGAAGGAGGGCAAGTGGGCACCCTATCAAATGACAAGGCAGGAACTACACGGAGCAGGCCCTTTTCACTGGTGGTGCCCATTGTATGGCTCGCTCTTTCCAGACCTGCTCTCTTTTGGCCTGGAATTTGGAGCTTTATAATCTAGGAAGACTTTGGAATAACAGGTTGACAAGTCTTATCAGTCGCTGACGTATGAGCGGATGTTATTTGCTGCTATTCTGGGTTCCTGGTGCACCAGGGTTTACACCAGTGTAATAGAGTTGGCCAGGACGAAAGAAAGGATACAATTATCTCCATTATCTGCACAGCAGGGGGTGTTTAGTCAACAGTGCAAAGGCTGAGCTGAAGTGTTTCCTGCTGGTTACCTGCTTTCAGCAATAGGGGCCACTGTTTGGTAGTACCCAACTGGTTAGCTGTCAGATTCTAGAGCTCCCTGTTGGTGGCTCTTAGGTAATTCCAAAAATACAGAGTCCATTCATAAAGCAGTAACATAAATCTCCATTGCTACATATTGGGTGTGTATTTCAGCAGTTGGACGTACAGCTTTATGGCCATGCTGTAGTGTAGTGCTTATGCGACTGTGAATAAAAGGTGGCTGGGCTCATTGTCCCGGGGTTTGGGAGGTGTGAGAAAACTGATGGTGAATTTGGGGTGACCCAGTGCAAACATCCTGAGGGTCCATGTGGATCTGTGCTTTGTAACCACGTTTATGCGCCATTGCGGCCCCACGAAACAGTGGATACGTGGTTTTTTTGGTGCAGGCTGTGGCTATGGACATGCTATGTGATCTGATGAATTTGGGGTGACCCAGTGCAAAAATCCTGAGGATCCAGGGCCTGAGAGGGTGGAACTTTACATGGAGCAATGCCATTATCTAAGAGAGACCGCATCCCTTTGTCTCTCTCTGTGAATATTGAATAAACTACTTGGTAAGAACTCTTCTTGTTTTTCTGCTTCTTGACATCCCACTGTGGGAGCGATAGGATTCCCTTGACACCTACCATCTCAAGTCTCTGGAGAAGCTTACATCATCACAGTGGGCCCTGAGAATGGGAGGATATTATTATTGTTATTGCAATTCCCTCTCCTGCACTCTGTACTGGCCACTGCCTTAGACAGCATGGTCAGGGATGGTGAGAGCTGCAGTTCACCAACATCTGGAGGACCCTAAGTTACCCTCTCTAGCTGTAAAAAGCCTCCAGACACATTTATGGACATTTTTAGAGCAGGACACATTTCTTCTCCATCTCTAGCAATGTAGTCCTGGCAGGAGAACCCTCCAGCACTTGCAAATATAGTGGAGCACGCTGACCGTGTCCTTCCATGCAGCCATGTTTCTGCTTGAAATTAGATTGTCCAAGTGAGATGACATTGCGCCATGTAGATTCAGGAAACATGAAGGCAAGAGGCAGTAATGAGATGATGGAGGCAGGTAATTAAATTTGTTCCACTAGAAGCCGGGGGGGGGGGGGGATTTAACCACATGCCTGCTGTGCTGCCTTGATCAAACATCCTGAAATTGGTCCTAGGAGGCTGGTTTGTGTTTTTTTTTAAAAAAAAGAGGAGTGCAGTGGTTTCCAGCATTTCATGGCTATCAGCTCTCCGCCCTTGGCTTTGGACATGGCCTCAGGAAGTAACTAACCCTTGGGTACAACGGATGATCAGACGAGTCTCCTCTTCGTTTATACTTCTAGGCTAAGATGATGTATGTCAATGAGGCACACGCAAAGGTAAAATTAAGAAGCCCTGGCTCGTAAGAGTGAATTTGTCGATTACAGTCTCAGAGGAAGGCAAGATTAAGATTATATTTTTGCAATCAGCACCCAGGGATTGAAAAAGCAAAATAATAATAATAATAATAATAATAATAATAATAATAATAATAATTCAATATCGCTTGGCTGTGGATGACAAGCTGCTCTGGTAAGGAGTTAAGGTCTCATACAATGTGTGCCTGAAGGTGATCCTTAAGAGACCGACTTTGATAGTCTAGCAAGAAAGATCCACAGTATACGTTTATAGCACACCCACCACACATTTAAAGCATGTGGCTTTCCCCTCCCCCTCCCCTGTAGTTTGAAGGGTTCTCCTGGGAACTGTAGCTCTGTGAGAGGGAAAACTACTGATCCCATGCTTCTTTGAGCGGGAAACTCATGTGCTTTAAGTGTGCATTGGAAGTGCTTTAAGTGCAAGAAATGGATCTGCTGCACGATTGCAAGTAGCCTTCTGCACACGTTGCTGATACTTTATTAAATTAGTAGGATCTATGTGCAGCTTCATCTGAAAACAATGTCCTGAGGTTTGCATTAATAGTATAAAATATTTGTTAAAAATAGCAATGAAGTGGACTTGATGGGGTTTTTATCTGGATGCCTGACATCCCTGCCAATATTGAGGCCACAATGGAGTCTTATAAGCTTTCAGCCTCACCGGACGACCTACTTGTACACCCAGCCTTTTGACGGAATCTGTGTCACTGTCCTTTGTTATTTGAAGGGGGTAAGTGCTCTCTCCTGTCATCTTGTTTCAATGTTTACTGCTAGAACGTGCTTTTTTATATACTGTGTTTTATGGGTACCGTATCCTGCTTCCGGGTTATTTCCTAATGAAAAGCGGGCAACAACTTATATATATAAATAAGTCAATACCCTCAGCTCAGTTTGCAGCTGCCCCCTTATAAGCTGCAACTTGCAGCACATCCTGGAGCCAAGTCCAGCACCTCAGAGCCCTCTGCCAAAGCACCACCCTGGCACCTTTGCCAAGCAAGTGTGGGCCACCATCCCCAGAACAGGCACCCCAGCTACCTGGTGCTGAGAGTGGGCAGCTGCAGGAACAAATGGCCGAGAGAGACTGCCATAGCTGCCCAGCCCAGCATTGAGCCCTTGAAAGGAAATAAAAAACACACACCATACGCTGGCAGGGGGTGTAATCATTATACTCATCCCTGCTAAGCTTAACGGGGTGGGGGACATGTTTTCGGGAGGCAGGCACAGGCTCTGGCACAGCTTTTTCTTTTTCTTTTTAAGGATTCAGCTCCGAAAAAGGAGTTCCAGGTCAGGCAGCTGCAGTGATGACCATCCTTGCTCCCCCACAATGCCTTGGGGGGCCCAGAAGCTTTGGGTGGCTGGGTGTGATGTGTTGGTTTTTGTCTTTTGGGTAATAGGAAGAAAACCACTAGGTAAAATAAAAGAAGAACTCCCTGTATGCTTAGATGGAGGTTTGGAGAAAGTACTCTTTGGTGAGAGAGAACTCCAACAAAGATCTAAAATCACAAAAATGCAGCAAAATAAAGTGTGGAAATCTAGACTGCTGGACCTTTACAATATCCCCTTCTAAGTTTCTTCCAAAGCTCCCCACTCTTAGCATAGAAAGAGACCAAACATTTTGTAAGTTAAAAATGGTTTACTTACAAACTCTTCAAAAGTCAGATTCATGTGCTTTTCCACACGGCAGCAAGAAAAGATAGGCAGTATAACTTAAGCTCCCAAAATGACAAATGTTTCTAAATTATTTGTCTAGGAACACAAAGATTGCTTGCTTAAGCCCCACTGTCTAAGCTTGGAGCATGCAGCTTTGTCCTCCTTACGGGTAGGGTTCACATGGTGAAAGAAGAAGAACAAGAGAGTTTGGTAACCCTTCCTTCCAAGATGATGGGGAGTGACCTAGCTAAGCCTGGCAGGACTGCTTACTTTATGGTCTTAACCCCTTCATGCATTTTATTATGTTTTTATATTTTGCTGGAAGATGCCCAGAGTGGCTGGGGAAACCCAGCCAGATGGGCGGGGTATACATAATTAAATTATGATGGTGGTGGTGATGATTCATTAGAGTTAAGCATGTTTGTTATATGAGGCTGGATATCCCAGAGGATGGTTCCACGCTTGATACTTCTTCTTTCAGTTTATGTCTGAAAACAAATCAATCCTGGAAACAGCTCCAGTATGCCCTTTGAGGCCCATGCCCCACTATGCTGTGTGCTAACTTCTGTCCTGTTCTGGGGAAGGGGAGTCTTCTCAGGCACTGAACTGCCCCACCCACCTAAATTAACCATTGAGGCCTTATAGGAGAGTCTATAAGGGATGCGGGTGGCGCTGTGGGTTAAACCACAGAGCCTAGGACTTGCTGATCAGAAGGTCGGCGGTTTGAATCCCTGCGACGGGGTGAGCTCCCGTTGCTCGGTCCCTGCTCCTGCCAACCTAGCAGTTCGAAAGCACAAAGTGCAAGTAGATAAATAGGTACCACTCCGGCGGGAAGGTAAATGGCATTTCCGTGCACTACTCTGGTTTGCCAGAAGCGGCTTAGTCATGCTGGCCACATGACCCGGAAGCTGTACGCCGGCTCCCTTGGCCAGTAAAGTGAGATGAGCGTCGCAACCCCAGAGTCGCCCGTGACTGGACCTAATGGTCAGGGGTCCCTTTACCTTTACCTATAAGAGACTTTCTGTATAGGCTTTGCCTGAGCAATCGTCTTCCTGCCTCTGGAGTGTTTCTGGGTCGTTGGCAACCAACTTCTCTCTCTGTTGCCTGTGGCTCACTTAGCCCTGATAATTGCAATGCTCATCCAAGCCCATTGACCTGGCTTTCAGGCATATTTTTATTAGAGAGGAAGGTGCACACCCACACCTGTGTCAACCAGTTGCCACATCCACAGCTTTACTGAGGCTGTTAACACTTAGTATAGCTTTTCATCAAAGGCGGGATCTTTCTTTGCACCCAGAGCAGAAAATCCAAGCATGAGAAGTACACATCTCCCCATAAAGATCCTCAAGATGGTCTACAAATTCTGTCATCCATCAACCCTGCCAAAGAACATAGAGCATATGGCAGTCTGGGAATCTGCAGCATATGGGCAGAGTAGATGGCATATGTCTCAGGAGACTTCACAAAATCCTTCCACCGTGAGCACGATATGCTTAGGAAGAAAAGCAAATGTGCATATATCTACTGTGGTACATGTCAAACTTTAGATGCCCATGGATTTAGGAGGAGGACCAGGAAAGAGCAGACTTGGGGATGAGCTTGTGGGAAGGAGGAAGCAATCCTGAGGTGCGATTCAAAGCAGAATTTAGGAACATGGAAAGTTGCCCTGAAACTGAGCCAAACTCAGCCGCTGGCAGCATCTCTTTGGGTTTGAGACAGGAGTTTTTCAGCGATCACTTCCTTTCATAGGAGCTGCTGGAAGGCTGGAGTCAAAGACAGTTGGGGAACTCAAGTAGCTTCAAGTGCATTCCAGCGCAATGACTGAGGGACAATTCCTAACAGCTCCTTGGTGATGGAAGAATCTCTCCACCCCTCAGAGAGGCCATATTTGAGTCAATCTACCTCAGGCACTGACTTTCATATGCACTTTCAAATGGCCACACTAGTTTCCTCTTCTTTTATTATGTGGCATGGTGAAAACAGCAACAGACTCAATGAGAGAGAGAGAGGGCACAAACCATCCCCCTTTGTCTTGCTTTGTGATTGTAATGGTATTGAAAGCAGACTGGATGTGCTAAATTAGGGATCACCAACCTTTCTGGGTCAAGGAGCAGAAGACCAGAGCATTGGCTGAGTGGCACAGGGCTTCCTCCTTCTGTTCTGATTCCCCCCTGATTCCCTAATGCACTCCGGAGAAAAGATTTGCATATGAACAGCGCTTGGGTATTCTGCTTTCCATTGCAGCACGTCAGATTGGATCACACACACACTCCCGCACTTACAGCTGTACGAAAGATGGTACACCATATCTCAGATTGTGGCACTTTTGCAACATCACATATTGCAATGCTATTTTGTGAAAAGAGTGCATTAAAACTAATAATCTATGGACACATTTCTATATTGCTTTTCATAAACAACAGCCAGAAGTGTACAAAACCAAGAAGTACAACAAAACTACAGTTGAGAATAAAATGTAGTCTCTAGGCAAACAGAAGGTTAAGTTAAAAAGAAACTAGCTGGTATTGGTGGCCAACAAGGACCTCAGACAACAGAGGGGTTTGCAGCACATACCAAAATTGCAACGGTGTAGGCAATTGCTGCAATTCAGAGAGGGGAGGTGATTCTACAGAGCGGGTGCCACCACTAATAAGGCCTTTCCTCTTGTCACCTCTAAAAAAAGCATTTGTAGGACACAGCATAGCCAGGAGGGATTCATCCAACGATCTTAGTGGCTGGGCAGACTGACAAAGGCACTCCTTTGAGTAAGCTGGTCACTAGTTCAGGGCTTTGCAGTGCAAAACTAAAACCTTAAACCTGGCCAGGTTTAAGAGTGGTATAACAGCTACATGATAGGATGCCTGGCTCAGTACCTTAGCCCCTGCCTTTTGGAGCTGCTGCGGCTTTCAGACTGGTCCCTAAGGGCAGCCTCACACAGAACGCATTACTTTGGGCTTTGCTGTCAATAAATCATATGGCAACCTAAAGAGATGCTGCCACCTGATGGGCCAAAGCAGCATTACAATTATGCAGGGAGAACATGGACATTCTTGCACATGTTCTTGGGACACCTTCAGCCCATACATTGGCGTCCGCACCAGAGAGGTGGAAGAAAGTTTAGTCCCCCCACTTGAATGGGGAAAACTCTTTCCTCTATCGCTATGGTTCACCTCACGTGTGTGTCTGAGGCATGCAGTGTATGCATTCTCTGGATGGTAGGTTTTGTGGAATATATAACCTTCTTTGACAAACAAACTTCCTGCCATATTGATGATGTGCATTTCACTAATGACTTGCTCATTGTAAGGGTCATAGTGGAATAGGTGAAAAGTCAGAACTAGCCAGTATCCTGCCTTTGGAAAGGAGATCTTTTAGAGGAATGATTCAAAGATGAAACCCTTTGCAAAGCTCTGCAAATGCAAAAAGAGCGTTTCCCTGCCCTCTCCTGGTCAAGACACCCATTCCTGTGCTGGCTAACCTAGGTATTTTTATATTTACATACATTCTGATCACGTTCTTGTATAAGCAAAAGCATTCAGGCTGCAGTGCTAAGAAGTAAGCTCAGTAGGACTTTTTCTGAGTATTGCATTTAATAAGGTGTAAGTGTAAACATAGGTCTGTTTTTTAAAAACTCTGCACTATTTTTATATTGTGATATTAACTGCCTCTGCCAGCTCCTGAAAAGTTTGTCTTGTAATTCTTACCTTACACTGCAATCCTACGCAGGTGTGTTCAGAAGAAAGTTCCACTGAGTTCATTGAGGCTTACTGCCAGGTGAGAAATGCAACTTTCCTTGCTTCTCTCCCTCTTTTATCACAAGCATCACATCTACTCTGGCCTTTCATAAATCAGGAAAAAATATTTGATAGTATCTTTGCACTATATTTTTAACAACTCTGTTAAACCAATCAGAAGCTTTGTAAAAATAAAATAAAAAACAGTGTCAATATCTATAGGCTACTATCTAAAGAGACAGAATGGATCCACCCTCCAGCCTGAACTTAAAGGAAATTCAGCATCTTAACCTTCTGTTTTCTGGATCCTAAGAGATCAGGATTTTTCCTCCAGTAAGGCTACAATGATTAATCCCAAACCAGTTCTACAGTCTTGTAGGGAAAAAGCAAGACAGGGGTGCAATCAGCTCCGGTCATGCAGACAGTTGATCTTTGTCCATGTCTCTATGCCCTTGAGTTTTCTTGGATTTGCAGCTGACTTTGTTGTCAAGGGAGAATTTTCCATCACCTCCTGCTGATATGAAGGAGTTGGAAGGTAATCCCCTTTCCACAACAGAGAAGTGCAAGGGAGAAAGGGCCTCTGGAGAGAGAAACTTCAAAAACTTCTTGGGAATTGAAAAGGGTCCTATTCAGCTTTGAAGAATGCCAGCATGGAGATGGTCACCTAGCAACCTGGAGCAATGTGACACAGCTTGGATTCCAGAGCCGGAGAAACAATGAGTCCTTGCGACCCTACTGGGAACTTAAAGCCCCAGGATCGTCTCCCAGGGCAGAGACAGAACACATCTAATGGGAAAGCATCTAATGAGAGAATAGGCTTCACCAAAGCGATGGCAAATGCATCAAGACATGTTGCCAACACACACACAGCAAGGGCTGATTGTTGAGCTTTGCTCTTCACTGATGTAAATCAAATGTTTAAGCTACTGTAGTAGAGACTGACTGGTAGAGAACTGAAACCAGGAAGGAGTAAAACGGACCAGAGAGTATAGTGGAAATGCTGTGTGAGACCCCTTCCAGCCAACACAGGTAGCAATGGCCAACCCGGCTCATTATACTCACAGTGGATTCTCAGGGAATAATTAACCCCATCAAAATGTTTTCAAGTAATATCCTTTTTGTCTTTTGTTTTGTCCTGCAACCAACAAAACTGCATGTGCAGCGGAATGGATATTTGTTGTTGCAAGAACCAAGTCTTTAGTTGGCAAGGACCTGCTCTACCA